TTTTTTTTTTTTTTTTTTTTAAATTAATAAATATCATAATATTATATATAAAAAGGAACTATGTGACATTTATTTATACCGTATAATACCAGGTATTTATATTTTATATATATATATAGAAAAGTCATTATTATAATTTTTTTTTTTTTTTTTATAATACAAATTGTAAAGTTTTTATATATACTTATAAATACAAACATAGGTACAAACATATATATATATATAATAATAATAATAATATAGCTCTGAAAAATAATTTTTAAATCGCGAGTACGTGATGCCGGTCATCGTCTCGCGAACGACACATTATTTTTTGTATATTATATAGCTGAAGGCACAGCGCGTTCTTATTTTTTTGGTTTATGCGTTTTTAGATTATTATGTATTGTGTTAAATAAAAACGTGTGCATATCCGGTCGCATGCTATTGTATTACACAACACCTGCATTTCGGTTTTTTCTTCAACACTACATGTTCCACCTGAGAAGGCTCGTTTCCATTTATCACAGTTCCTGTAACCAACATAAAATATCCACGTACATTAGACACAATAAATTGCAGACTTATACAGTGCCTATAATATACAAATATGGATCCCGTGTTTTTTTGTGCTGTTAGAAAACACCGGTTAATATTATTGAATATAATAAACGTATATAAATACGTAGGTTCTGTTTTACTATTATTACCGCCACAATTACAGTAGCGAGCAGTATAATTACGTTAATCTCGTGTATACGCTCGTTATTATACACGTTTTAACTAGAAACTATAATATTATACTTAAATTCCAACGCTATCGACCGAATCGCTTAAAAATCTATTATCTAGAATATTTAAACACTCTATAGGTACCTGTATGCACATATTACGGAGAGAGATTAGACTATTGTATCGAATATTAATCGTGTACAATGTTAATTTCCGAACTGTAATGTTATAATCCTACCCAGTCAATACAAACTGGCATCGCAATCGAGTTGAATGGGCATGGCGAATCGATAAAATTACTAGATGGGTATATTGTTATCCGTCAATAGGCGAAAGAGCCGAGCTGCCGGGTAAAACGAAACAATAAAACACAATTTCAGAACAATATCAAACTTATTAGTGTACAATGCAGGTATATATTGTACAAAAAAAAAAAAAAAAAAAAAAAAAAAGGGAATTATAACCGAAACGTAACGCGATGGGTATTAACTATAATATTATGCGTGACGCGACGGCGAAGTTGAACTTTCGTCATTTATTTACGGGGGGAGGGGAGGGGAGGGGACCAAGTACCTCGACCGATTTTTGTCACACGTTTTACAGCGTATGCGTCCCTATTGGTTTTTTTTTCCCTCGAAAGTATTCGTTAATTCATTCGCGTTTACTGGCATTTTCCGGGCGGCGCGGGCGTACTAATTATCGGTGTTTATATTTTTTATTATTTCCTGTACATCAACGTCGGGGCGGGCGGTCCGCTCTATATTTTCCCCAAGCCCGAATGCTGCTGCGACCGATTTCGCATCGTTTCGAGTTCGTTCGCCGTAACAGTAATATTCGTTTGGGTCGTGTTCGCAAACAGTGGGGGATTTTCAATGTTTTTTCCGGGGGGTGGGGGAGAGTGGTCCTAAAAAAACCATACGTATTTCAAAGGTATCTGAATCGACGGATGCCTCTTTTTGGACGACGTCTGATTGGAATTATTATACAAGCGTCTGGAGGGAGGGCAGGGGAAGGGGACCAGACCCCCGTAAATCTGTTTTGGCAAACGATTACCGCCGGCGCGGCCGTTACAACGCAATTACAGTCTAATCGGAACCCCGTACGGTCGTTATTATTTTTCCCGAGTCGGGTCTGACGTCGTAATTATATAATAATATCATCGTAATCTATCTAATTTATTGTATAAAATAACATGCCCCGACTGACTGACTGATTCACCATCGCCTAGCCCGAATCGCCGGACTGGCCGGGTTGAAATTCGACGCAGCATCCGCTAGGAAAGGATTTTTGAAAAGTAAAATATATGGACGTTTCGGATATCTAATCGTTCGTTTGTTTGTTTTTTTCACACGGGGTTACCTCGGCGATACGGACGGAATAAAAAAAAAAAAAAAAATCGGCCATACAATTACTACAGTGTTACAATATATTTTATATACCTCTTTGGACTTCCACGTTGGGCGGCACCGCGTTCTTTTCGTTGCACGTGCCGTTCGCTTTTGTCGGCGTGGACGCCGTCACCGGCGACTGTTGCTGCTGTTGCTGTTGCGGTTGGTCGTGCTGTACGCCCGCGTCGGGTTCGGGCAACAAGGGTGACGCCGCGCTCGTGGGCGTCGGCGTGATCGGTTTGCCTTCTTTAATCAGCTCGACTATCTGGTCGGCCTCCTTGGACAAGTCGCCGTCCGGTCTGAAAGGATTGTCCCATCCGTCCGAACTGTAACACGCAAACGGTACGATATGACAGTATACGCCGTGCGAACAGACGCGCGTCGTAACGGAAATGCCCCGAACGCGGGTTACGACGTACGGACAATCCCGAGCACAATCGGTTCGGGCACGCGACGCGCGAGAACCGTTGACTTTACGCCACGTTTAGTTTACGGCCGTCGAGGCAACGGCGGACGCGGAACCGGGGCGACCGTATTGTTTTATAACAGTACCACCGCGTGGCGCGGACGGAGTCCAACAGGTGAAAATGTCGCGCGGGAGAGACTCCGTCGCGAGCGGGACAAAATACAACGACGCCGCACGTCTGGAACGAACGCGGTACGTAAACGGCCGGGAAGGGGAGGGCGGATGTCTTGTCGCTGTACAACGTTCTCTCGTGCGAATATCGAAAGAACAAGAAGAAGAAGAAGACGATCATATTTCCAACGAATCCCGGAAAAAAAGAACAAACATTTTAAAATTTCGATGATAATAATTGATTATTACGCGTTAACAATAAAAAAAAAAAATGTTATTACAATACGAACACTTTTTCGACACTCTAGTGACTTTTGACAGAATACATTTAGTTCACTCAAATGAAATAGCACGAGAGCACGGAAAGGTCAGCGTAGGTGATTTTAATGAACGACAGGGGAATGAAAGATCTATTGCTCATTATTTTGAAAATGCTTTTTTTCGCATAAATATTTTACTACTAAAAAAAAAAAAACCTCTTTCATAAGAAATATATTTTTATTTTCCGATATTTTTAAAAACAATACGAAAAATATACATTTTTTTTAAATTAAATTTTCATAATTAATTAATATATATATATATTTAAAATTGTTGTTTTTTTTTCTCGGTCTTTTTTTATTTTTTATTTTACGGATTACCGAACGTCCGCGGACTGGCATGCGCGCGCGCTCTGTATGTAACATTTCGGATAATATCGGAGAACGGCGTCGAGATAGACGGTATTATTACTGTTATTACGTTTGCGGTCGGAATTCCGCCGGCGACGGACGCTGCGCCGCAGCGCATTAAAGGCGCACGGCAGGAAGAGGGAACCTGCAGCACGGGTTCACGGGCCATTGCCGGCTCACCGGACCGTGGCGCACGGTTGTCCATGAAATGTTTCGTGTACGTAACGCGATGGCCGACAATGATGATCGACATTAAATTGTATTATTGTGTACGCGCATACGTACGTGTGTGGCGTGTACGGCGTGAGCGTACGAGTCGGCGGCGGCGGGTAATTACTATCGACGCGTTCGTTTCGAAAATCGAAAAAAAAAAAAAATTCCAATATCGAATATCGGGAGAGGGGGTGGACGGAGAGGACGGCGGATCCGATATCTACTGTGCGTCGGTCGGTCGGGCAAATCTCGCCGAAAATCTTCAGAAAAACCCCGGCGTTCTGGAATCCGGTGTACACCGCGGTGTTTCGACCGGTGATTTGCCCACCGATATCGATACCGTATGGCACATGTGTACATCCGAATCGTACTTCTGAAAGTTTATGATTCTGCGGCCCGGGTCTGTGCGAAGGCCAATCACACTTTGCGGCCGCGTCGAGTCGTAAACGTTCTTGTACCTATCGATACGCTTTTCTCGCGCCGCCCAATGAGCGTGACTCGAGCGTCTCAGAGGTAGCCGAGTTCCGAGGCGTCACCGCTTCAGCCTTACGCCGACGGTATACAATTGTCACACACGTGTAGGTATGCGCGCCACGGGGGTGGAGATAATCGCCCGCGTCGCCGACTCCCATTTTGCCGACAAGCATTTTGTTTTGTTAATACTTACCTGTGACGCACGTTACTCATGACTCCGCGTTTCCGTTCTACTAGAGTTCATGTTAAGACGACTCGTTTTCGGCGTCGTTTTTCGCAGGGATTGCACTAGTTTTCTTAAATTGCCACTGTACTAACATTGCAAAACTGTACTGAACACAAATTGTGAAAAATTCTTTTGAACATCTATTCGTAATCCGTCGATTACCCCACTGTTATTGTCAATAGTTTTTGTGTTTGCGACAATACACAATCGCGGCGCTGGAATTTCTATAGAGCAATAATAATTCCATTGCAAAAATGACATTTCAATTAAAAATAGCGACACGACCGATTCGTGTGCCGGCGGAACGGGAAGATTTTTAATGCACCGGTTTATTCGCGGGCAAAATGAGAGCGGGCGACGTGGGAAGACGCGCGACTGTCGTTGTGGCAAGGCGTTCATTTGACGACGACGGACGCGCTCGAAAACGCGAAATCCATAAAAACGTCAACGTACATTACGGTTCGTTCGATCAATAAATAGGTACGAATAAGTCGCACGAATTATCGTTGTCTTATCTCGACGGGTTATTTGTACATACTTAACGACGCGACGACGATAATCTCTACACGAGAGACGATACCGTGGCGTTAAACATTACGATATTATTTGAAGAAAAAAAAAAAAAAAATACAAGCTGAACGTCGTGGCGGCGTATCGGTGGTTTGTTTTTTTTTTCCGTAATATATTCTATACGTTTTTTATAAAAAAAAAAAAAAAAAAAGGGAAAAGAGTCGACAAGAGCCAAATAAACGTGAATAATCGCTGTTCTATGGGAGTCATGGCGGTATTTATAATTCAATTGGAACCCGTTCGTTTATAAATAGACGTTGTTCACAACAATTTACAACGGGAATATTATTGTCGAAATGACGAAAAATATCGCCGGCAGATAAATCGGCAATTTTTCGTCCGGGGAATATTGTTAATCAAACACGTCTCCTCGCTGTTGCGAACGTATCGATAATAAAAAAAAACGTTCCGTACGCGCATACCCGTCACGTCGGCCGGCCATAATTTATACCCACCACCGGCCTAAAAAAAAAAAACTTCGGGATGATTTCGTCGGCACGAAGGCTGACCTTTAAAAAGGTGTGGTCGTCGTTTGGCATTCAAAACAATGTGCTATAATTTCGGGCAGCGAAAGGTCTCGCCCACGCCTAAAAACGTCACCATCAATCATCGCGCGAAACACTTCAGAGCACGGGAAAAACACGATAAACGTGTCACCAACTCCCCGCGTTTAAAAAAAACTCGACGCGAAAACAGATAACGGCGGTGTTTCTCGCTAAAACCGTAGCCGTTCGCCGGGAAATTGGCAAAACGCTCGGGGAGAAAAAAAAACCGAACAAAAATCCATTCGAAACACGCCGAGAAACGGCCGCGGGAAACACGACGTCGCGGGGGGGGGAGCAGTTAGAAAAATTAACGCCGCGTTCGAAAATTCAAACACGCGGTTATTTTTCGGCGGGAACGGGGGAAGGCGGGGTCGGAAGGTTTTTTTTCTCCCGCATAAAAGAACCTTTAAAACGTATTGTGCCGCGGCGGTCAGACGTCCGTTTTTTTTTTTTTCTATTTTCTTCGCGCCGTAACCTCGAATCTATATTTAATTTACCTAAACAGAGAGACACCCCGCGAATGTGCGTTAATAATATTCGCGCGATGGCCGAGCAGCCACGACATCGGTTTATAAACCGTACACCGGCGACGCGCATCTACTCGCGCCTAGCGGATGGGTGGGGGGAGGTTAGGGGTTACGTTGCCCCACCCGCCGGCGCTTGAAAATGCGAAAACAATAATCGGTTACGCGACGCGGCACGCGCATTTTCGGCCGAGTTACGAGGAGGCGCGTAAAAAGCCCGAAAACGGCGGTTGGAAATCGGTTATTTTTTTGTTTTTGCTCTTTCGGATCCGGCTTTTAATAACCGAAACTGCCCGGTGAACCGACGGCGAAGGCGAACGTTTACGGTTCGCATTCGTCGCGCGTCGACAACGGCGATGACATCTGACGAGACGTCGCGTCGCGCATCATATTGCGCGTAAAATGCGGCGTTTGCGAGTGAAAAACAATAATCGCCGGCCGCAGCCGCCGTCGTTCCGCAGTTCCGTCACTGCGTACGCATTGTTGTAAATATTTTAAACCGCCGTCGTCGGGCGTACGCGCGGAGAGCGGTTAAGCGGTTTAATAATATTTCGTGCTCCGAGGGGGGAAAACGTACGCGCGGAGCTCGTCGTGCTCGCGACGAATTGTAATGCAATAGATGCGTACAACGTGTTACGTTTTATTATTACGACCGTTTTTCAGAAAAAAAAAAAAATAAAAAAATAAATAATAATAATAATAATAAACCCAACGACAGCGCGGTTCGAAAGGGGGTGTTTTTTTTTATTTTTTTTTAAATTTTTTCGAATTGTTATTGTTTCCCGCATCCGTTTCCGGAACGACCCAAGACGTTTTTCGTACTAAACGGCCCGCTCTCGTCGGGCCCCGCGTTTTATACGGCCGACGGTATAAATAATAAAATGTTATTACAACGCTCGCTCGTTATCACAACAATAATATTATTATTACCCGCCTTTCGCCCGTTTGTTTTCGGTTCTATAATATAAGCAGACGTTTGATATTCTCACTCTAAGTTTAACGGCGACAGGGTGCGCTTTTCCTCCAGGTACTTGTGCGAAGCGGTGGCCGACACATAGTCCAACGAAGTAGGGTCGTCCTTGGGGACTTTGACCACGTAGTACAGTACGCCGCCGTGGGAAGCGGTCATGCTTGTTGGCATGCTATTTTAATGGTACGACGACCGACGGTTTTCGCACGCTTCGGCTACTCTTCTTATCAGTCGGGTGTCGCGCGACAAACAAGAGGCGGCGGCAGCGGCGGCGGCGGCGGCGGCAGTTGCGTCGCGGTGTGCGAAAACGACAAAACCACGACCGTCGCGAACGCGGTGGGAAACACGAACTGAGGAGAACCCCGACGCGGCGCGCGCGCCGCCGGGCGTTCCCCTTCCCATTCACGTCAGTCAGTGGCGGCGGCGGCGGCGGCGGATACTACATCAGGAGAGTCTACTATTATAATATACGAAACTACACCGAATCGTCGTCCGTACAATCGATAGTAGCGGGCATAGTATCGTTGTTGCATTCTGGCTTTCTTATAACAATATATCGATAACGGCCGCGGTTCGCGGCCGACGACAGCGCACGGTGTGCGCATGATTGCCCGGCTACAGTATCGCCGCAGCCGTTGCCACTGCTCCTGTCCGCCGCGTATCGTACTATCCTCCCTCGCCCATGCCACTGCTGCAACGGATATCGATTGTTGTCCTCCGCCGCGCGCTCGCGTTTGTGCGTTTGCGTACACATAATAAACAATCAGGTGACGTAAGCGTTGCGCTGTGATGGCGTCTTGGTGTCGGTTTTTAGAGCGGCTTACCTACGCTGTCGCGCGGGAGGGAACACGAGAGGAGAGGACGCACCGTACACCGTAAACCGTAATTTGTTATACAGGTGGAAAGCGTAATTTTTTTTTCTTTTTCCATATTCTTTTTGAGATTCCGAGCGGAGCGAGGAACACTCGTGCGGCTGTTCCGCAAAGCGGTTTTGTTATTCGTTCATATTATCTGTTTATTTTTCCGGTTAGCAAAACGGCTCCGAAACGTTCACCGCACTGCACAGACGGACCTCGGCTGCGGTATAACAGTGCTAATTACAAACTAAAACGCGGGAGATTTACTTTTACGTACCTTTAATTAGTTTATTGTGTTTGTCGTCAACACGCGCGATAGCTGAAGACGAATTTTTTTTTTTATATTTTTTAAGTTCGGTTAGGCGTTAATTCGAGTACGTGTAATAAACGGAAAACAAGTCTCGCGGATTTGAAAAAAAAAAAAGAAAAAATGTCAGACAACAGGCGCTGAACGATATTATGCCACTCGCGGTTCACCTGCCTTATAAAAGACGCGCGTGTTCAATCTCGCGGCACGTTATTCGAAAAATATTCCCGACAGTTTTCCTACTACGGGAGGAGGGGGGGGAATCGATAAAAACCGTAAAAAAAAAAAAATAACAACGAAAACCCGCGGTTTTGAGCGAAAGCCACACGAGACACGCAGAGATCCGCGAACAATTTTTAACACGTTACATTGCTGGACGTAAACGGGATAGTAAAAACTTTGAAATCTAAACGTTTCGCGCATCATCGGTCCCTCTAAACACTAGAATCGCGGACTTTTTTTTTTACATTTCTCTTGATTACACGCACGGAAAATAACCACTTCGATTAGTCGAACCAGTTAAAACACTAGCGAACTTTACTCGGAATCGGGGGTTCTTTTTTCTCCGCGGTATTTAAGCAAAACTACTGAATTCCCCGGTACGTTAATTGTTATAGTATCGAATTGTACCCTTTACTTTTGCCGACCGTCCCACCGACACGCGAAAGCGAAATGTATACACGGGGAAACGGAGACGTGTCCGTCTGTTATTCATTCCGCGCGCATTTACCGATTAAAGGCCATCAATATAATCTCGCGCGCGGTTTTTATTCTTCTCCGATTTCCAAAACGGATACAGTTTCGCGACGGTACGTGATTTATCGTTCGCGGGGACGTATGTACGCGAAAAGAAAAAAAAAAAACAAAGAACATTTCCGACGGACTATTTCGCGATTAGTATGCGGCGAACGCGACACGGAGAACAGGCATATCGCATTTACTGTAATGATATACGTGATTAGAAATTCGCGTTGGCCGCTATGTACCGTGTTTTATCCGGACGTCGCGTACGGATATTCAGACCGGTTCGGAATGAACAGTAATGATAACAATAACAACGATGAAAAAAAAAAAAAAAAAAAAAAAAAAAAAAAAAAAAAAAAACATTAAAACACCGCGGTAGTATATTTTGTGCGCGTTAAAAAAATTCCACGCGTCCCACTGACCTATACGGGCGCGTTAATGAAGTATCACTTTATTGTACGCCGCGGGTGGCGGGTACGAGCCGGACACAAATAAGGACGGTGATGCGATGCACGCGATAATCGTTAATTAACCGAACCGGCTCTTTTTTTTTTTTTTTTTTATAATTTTTTCCATAACAGACGCGACAATAAAACAATATGCGCCCGTTACATCACCGTAGTCAGCGTAATCCTACGATATCGGGTGGGGCTCGCCAAAGGCCGGAGCCTTTCCCACCTTCCCCCCCCCCGAAAAATCCTTGATGAATGGGAGCAGGACGCGAATTTTAAATACTTTGGTTTCTTCGTTTATTATTTTTATAAATATTTAGCGACGCTTTCAATTTTATGCTGTTTAGATAATTTATTTTGCTATTTGAATAGTTTGCGTTCATTTGTGATCAAAAATGCAGATGTTTTTTTTTAAATTTCCAACTCGTTATAGTCTATGAAGCTGATCTACAGCCAAGGACTGATAGTGAAAGTGGCCGAGTTATACAACTTTATGTGAACAAAAAGTTATAAAACTCAATTTTTATAGATTTCCACTAATGGGCTATTCTTAATAACAGTAAAATTTCACTTGATTTCAAGTGAATCTTGTGTATTTTTTTGCAATCTTTAAGAAAAAAACTATGTACGACCTCGTAACTTTCGAACTCCGATGGGTAAATGCGATTTAATTGAAAGTATCGCTAGTTCCCTCCTATGTTATTTAAATGGTAAAAATAAACACTACTATGTGTATTGGTTGTAATTTGTAATGCTTTTATTAGCATGTTCCGGAGAGACGGGGTATAGTTTCCGAATTATCCCGAAGGTTTTCGAGCTATTTATAGGCGTTTTAAATTTTTTTTTTTTTTAATTTTACGTGCACATTATATTTTCGGCTTCGTCAAAATGTCTGAACGAATTCCATACAAATCCCACGTGACGCACCAACCACAGATTCGAAACGTTACGAGATGCAAGTAGAAGAACGTCCGACTGCGGACGTTTCGCACTAAAAACACGGCGGCCGTCAAACGGGCCGTCCGTCCGGTCTCCCGTTTGATTTATACGCGCGGGTACTTCTAATTATCGCGTTGACGAAATAATTTATGGAAAAAAATAGAATTTTTTTCTATTATTATTATTATTATTGATTTTTTTTTTTTTCCCCCGGAAAATCGAGGACCAATGTCGTCGTGTCGGTCGTGTTTCCATTTGTTTATATTTTTTCGTCCCGTCCGAACCGCATTGCGCGATTGGCCGCGGCCGATATAATAATATTATTATTATTATTATCATTATCATCGCATGTGCGACGACTAGACCTCTTGGCAAAACGAATCGTCGTTTGAGGCCGCAGCGCCGAGAACGCGCATACAATAATACCGTGTCCTCGGCCGCGCGCGTCGGACACTAACGCAGAATAACACAACGGCGTATCAAAGCGTGCAGTCTTACAGCGTAGGGACAGCGCCGTCCGACCACGGCGCGGGTACGACCGGGCGCGTAATAATAATAATAATAATAATAATAACGACGACGATAACGATAATAACAACAATAATATTATCTACGAGTAACGAGTTTCAAAACCGCGGCGGTTTGACGCGTACGTTCGCGGTTCTCACGTGTTATTGTGCACGACGGTAATAATAATAATAATAGCAATAATAGCAATAATAGCAATAACGATAATAATAACAATGATAATATTATTATTATTATTATTATTATGTTTATCGGAGGCCCCCGCGGGAGGTTCGTTCAACCGTCCGCCCGACGAGACGGACAATGCCGGCGGTTTCCACTCCGGGTTCGCCGCGAATCCGCGGGGCCGCCGTCGCATTATTATTCGCGTGTACGAAGAAAATAACGAAGCGTCACGACAACAAGAGGCGATTCGGGATTCGCACAGGACCGCCGGCGACACGACGGCGCATTGTCTTGTACCGAAATAATGACGGCAGACGTGACCGATGATGCAACGCGTTCAGAATGCGCTCTCCTCCTGCGCGATGCACTGCTGCGCGCGTACCGCAAGACCGCTCGACGCGCGCGCCCGGCACCTGTTTAAAATAACAAACCCCTCCCCGACCTCCCCATCGCGCGCACTCACCTAATCTGCGATTGGACGTGACCGTTTGACCTTTGCAGTATGGGACTCGACGTGGTCATGGTGTTGTCGCCAAATATTTCCAACGACTTGGGTGGCGACGGTATCACGCACGGTTTTTCCGATTCGAAAAAGCTCACTCGGACTCTGGTGGACGCGACGGCTCTGCAAACCAGAAAAAAAAAAAAAAAAATCAAAATCAAAAATCGTACATTCCCGCGAGTGTTAGAGTTTTAAAGGACGGGCGTGAAATCCGAACATCCGGATTCGAATCGAATTCTCATCCGGATCTTTTGAATTATCCGGATTCGCCCATCATCGCTGTATAGTACCTAGAGCGGAGTGCGTAAAGGAGGCGCTGGCCGCCCGACGATTTTCGACAATTACCGCGTATTATTACGATATGTTATTACGAACGTTTGACCTATTTGCGTCTCTAATTATAACTCCAGGCGTGCGCGCTTCACTCCAGATGACGTCCGGAGGAAACGCGAAAATAAACATGGGTTTCGATAAAAAGAGAGGGGGAAAAAAAAAATCCCGAACCGATGGACGGTTTCCAAATTGGCCGGGGCCCAAGAACATTTTACGAATGCGCCTATCCCCAAGGTCTCCGGAGCAGAACGACGACGACGGAGCGAATCGCCGTCGTCGCCACATGGCCTCCGCGGCGAAGACGAAGACGAAGACGGCGGCGGCGGCGCGGTCCGCGGGCGTCCGTATCGACAAGACTCGACACCGTAGCCGTCGGTTTTTACGCGAAATAATTATTGTTGCCTGCCGCGCACCCGTGCAATCTCGTTCGGTCGCGTCCGCCGCCCGACAAATTGCGTATTGGGGCGCGTGTCGCGTTCGGGGCGGTGCAATACGTTTTCGCACTGGACGTAATAATAGTTGGCGCCAAACGACACTGTTTTTCGTCGACGCCGCGGGACGGGCGCGGTCGAATGCCCGCTGGCCGCACAATATTCGGCAGCGGCGGCGTGGGACGACGCGCCTATTAATAATTTACATACGTAGGTAACGATATTGTCGGGCCGATCGTCATCGTTTTTTTTTTTTTCGAGTGGTGGTTTTATTGTATACACGGGATAGAGAGAGAGAGAGAGTGAGAGAGATAGACAGAGGTTAACAACGATTATTAACGTTGTGATATTAATATTATCACTATAATATATACGCGCGAACAATAATAGGTCGGGCGCACCGCAGTAAAATAATAACCTACCTGCAGCCTATACAAACACACACACACACACACACACACATTATAGTAATAATAAACGCCGAGGCTGATTGGCCTAAGAATTTGACCTTGTCGACTATTTCGTTACGCGCGGCCGCGGGCGGGGCGACGGGGTACGCGCGCAAAGTTGTAGGGGGAAAAGTGAAGCAGAAAAAAAAAAAAACCCGCTGCCCACCGGCCACAATACCGGACCGGCCGGCCGTGCGTCGTTTACGCGCCAAAATTCGATCTAATTTAATATCGCGGCGTCTCGTGTAGGATATCTGGTAACGGGTGGGAGGGGGTAGGGGGGAGGGGGAGAGATCGCGACCGGACCGAATGTTATTATCATATCGTATACGATCGGCTGCGAACTCCGCGAAACGCGCGCGCGGTGAAAGTTTACAAAACGTTACCATTTACGGGACTTTTGCTTTCCGCGGTTTCGCGCGACCGAAATGGCGGCGGCGGCGGCGGCAGCAGCGGCCGCCGTTATAATAACGGGGTCGAGGGACGCGAAACCGGTCGGACCGCCGCCGATGACATCATAATACGATCGTTATTGTTGTTGCTGTTGTTATTACTGTTATTGCGCGGCGGCGCGGTGGGATTCGCCGGTAGAGACCCAACACCGTCCGTTATTCTCGGGGCGCGGATAAAATATCATCGATGAAAAAAAAAAAAAAAAAAAAAAAACAGGTAATAACGAACGTTTTCAACAACTGTATGAGACGTACACCATCCGGCCACACTCACCTCGACTTGTCGCGACGGTTTTCCGGGTGGCGGCGCTTTTATCCCCCGGTATCGATTCGACGGAGGATCGTGGGCGTAACCGCGGACCGCGACGATTTACTTCAAACGGAACGCGCGCGCGACGATTTTCACCGTGCGCACAATAATAATTACATACAGACGACGGTAATATTTGTCTGTTAACGCGCGCGCGCGCGACGACCGGGAACTCGGATTGTACGCGACGGCCGAATGTTATTGTTGTTGTTGTTGATGTTTTCGGCGGGTAACGGCACCACGGTAGGACGTACAATACGCGCGGGCGGCGTACGCACACAAAACGGCGGTACGGCGTCACTGGAGTGATTGTCGATAGGGACCGGGGCCACGGGAGCGGCCGCCGGAGGATTCGACTGTGGCCGCCGCCGCCGCCGACTCGCAGTGCTACCACCCGGCCGGGCGCTGTATTATCCGCACCGGTCGCCGAACGCGTTTCGTTTTCGTATTCCGTGTGCGTAATACGATTTATGACGGCCGGCCCGATACGATTGTGTTATCGTGACGGCGGCGTGATCCCGGGAAAACGGACGCGCCGCGTGCGACGCGGAAAAGCCGATCGTCCGGGAGAACGCGCGATAGCCGTGTGTTACTGTCGCTCTCGCGTCGCCCTGTTGCGTTTTTCCGCCGGGTCGCGCGTTACGCAACAACATTAACAATAATAATATATTGTTATCACGCGGACCGGACCGCCGTACACCTGTACGTATGCATCGAAATTCCGATCGATGGAGAGTTTCGCCGACCGCCGTACGCACACAATGGGCGCCGCGCGGTGCGCAGATCTGCCGCCTTTATACGCGCGCGATGGGCTTATTTATCGTGTAACCGTATACCGTGCGGTGTGTAAACACCGCGGCGCGGTTAATACCTTCATGGGTCTTTTCAGAGATTACGAGTACTTGATAGAAAAAAAAAAAAAAAACCACACAGAAACGTGGTTTATGTTGTTTTATAGAGTGCGTGCATAGGAATTCGATAAATATTCGTTAGTCAGTGTTGGTTGGTCGGTACGGTATCGATTCACCAGGCTTGAGAGTATTAATTTTTTAAAAAAAAAACAATCAACTGTGAAAATCATTGTACGTTACCGTTCAAAGGTATAGAAACGCTCGAACATCATTTGTGTGGCGGTTGGGCGTGCGGCGTTTGAATTGCCGACTTTCTCCGTATAATCAAACTTAAAAGCGGAACATCTCGTCCACGGGTCGATGAAAATATTAAACATTTCGAATAGCGAAGTGCGTTCAAATTAAATATTCCGCGAAAAATTTACTTGTCGAGGGCCAACGAGTGTGTCTCATCGAGGATAGTTCACTCTGCGTCATATATTCGTATACAATAAGACTTATTGAATAAGCGAACGTCCGTTGAATGTTGTCAACGAAATACGCATTCACGTGAAAACAGATGGATGAGTAAATTTCATTGAAATAAATTAGCCCGATTGGCCATTTCATTTCATATATTATAATATTACCGCACAACAGATGGGTACTGTGCGTAGTTTCGGTTGGCAAATAATTTATACGGCGGACCTTTATAGGTATCGGGTATTACAAATTGATTAATGAAAAATGTATCGTATCGTATTTATTTTTAATGAGTCTATACGGCCGGTACAACTACCTGTACAGTTATCACGTCTCAATACGATATTATAATTACACACGAAACCGTGAACGAAAATAACAAGTATAGTGATTTTGATAAATCAATATTTTAATTAGCGTAATGACAGTTAACAGTTCGATTTGTACGGGTACACACACCACTTTTCATTCATTCATCGTTATACAACTACCATAATAATTTGCCGGTCTGTAACACAACGTCATAATGTTATCGAATATTTACTTTTAACGCATTCGACGGGCATTGCTTTTATGTAGCAGTAATATGAACAATATCGTATCACAGCCAATACGGCTACGGCAGTAATATTTTCAACGGTATCAATAAAGAAGACATTAGACTGCCACGCGTCGCGGCGGTACACACTGTCGACTTACACCAGATTTTCGGATGTATACCGTAGGTGCTGCTAGCTGGTATAACAGTGAAAACGCCATTACAAGTGTCCGTCAACGTGTTAACAAACGCCGACAATTGTTGATATTTTACGAAATTTTCAGTGGTCGGTTGAAATTCGTTACTTTATTGTTACACTCTGTATATATATATTTATTATAATATTAAAACGGAAATTATAAAATAATACGTTGACAGGGGGGGGCACGAGGGTCGATCCACTGTGAAAATTATAATTATATAATTCGATTTTAAATTCCATCAAGACGAAATTGTTTTCAATTATATTTATAAAAATATAACCGTAGCTCCGTAATATTATTACGTTGTTTTTTTTACAATATTGTGCTTTTTGGGGAAAATAAATTTAAAAAAAAAGAAAAGACGGACATATTTCACACGTGGGTGTAGCCACTGTTGTAAGTGGGAAGTTGGGTAGGTAGGATACCGACGGAAATTTAATGTATATCTGTAGGCAACGATAAACCATTGCTAACGAATAAACGATTCTGAGCGGAGTTCAGTTGATAGTTTTGCTTTTTCAACAATATATATGTCATATTATGGTAAAACGATTATTAATGTGCGTTTCCATGACAACAATGATTGTTTAAAAAAGATTATTAAAACAATAAAAACTTAATAATAACGAAAAATAAATAAAAACGGTTGCCGATGACAACCTTATTTTTAATCTAATGAACCAAGTGTTGCTTATTATCTCGAATATTTAAGAGAATTTCAAAAAATGACTTTAAAGTACCAGCCAGAGAATATTTTCTTTCAGAAAATATGCTATATTTGATAATCGGAGTAAGTTTTCTGGTGGAAAAAGTGTTCACATCAAAAAAATAAAATAAACATTATTGTAAAACTATAAATTCCTCGTTCCACTTGGAATCTAAAAGGTAGAATATCCGAGGGGAGATCGTACGAGGAATGGCGAGAATATTTCCTTGGAAGAGAGGGCTGCCGCCTTTCTTCTTCTCTCTCGGTGTTGTCATCTCTATATTCAAAAATCACATGTATTACATACGCCACTGTATTTCGATGCAATGCCCGACTATCGTTTTAAACTATATACACCGAACAAATTTGAAATATAATACGAACGTGTTTGGAATATTTTACGAAAATCTAAGTGTATACAAGTTTGTGATGTTAAGATCGCTCGGCAATGCGTGCAGGCATTTATATAAAAAAAGCTGTTGTTATGAAATGTTTACGAAACAAAACTGCTTAGGGTAGTGTCTGGAATTCGTCCTCGTTTCATTTTACAAACAAATGATGTACAGTGAAGTATAATGTTTTACTAATTTACAATGTTTGCATTATAAAGGGGGGTAAAACTATTAAGAGTACTGCGCTGCGTATTATTATATAGATTTAAATATTTAAATTCATATTTATTTTTACGGCACATTATTGTATACTGCAATGTTATAATATTTTAGTGTTTTATACTTTACTCGAGATATTTCGTATCTATACAAAACACAATAAAAATAAATAACTTAACGATAATGTATTATAGCTGTTATTAAAATCATACGAAAATATAGCTAATAAAAAGTTTCAATGTGATTACCTAATGTGTACCGGTATTTTTACGAGAAATTATGTAGACAAATTAACACCTATTAATTATTAATAATAATTAAATTAATTTTTTAATGGACATTAGGTTTACAAGTTACGCATGGAATATCAAAAGAATATAATTTTTTAATGTTTTTCTTGTATTTTTTGGAATTGTTTGCGTATATTATTAAATTCTTTTAGAATAATCTATTTATCTTTTCCGGTTTTGTTAACTTTACATTGCCAGCTATTCGAGGCCTCGTATACAATTTCACATTGCAGTCAAATTTTCGATAAAATACTTATTTTTTTTCCCAAAAATGGCATATCAAAAAACTTTTTGTAATCATATATTCTCAAGCATTAAAAATTGTTCTTATTTCATGCACATTTATTTTTGATGATGAAATCACCACCCACTTAATTTTCAAATAGCAACCTGTAATAAAAATTCCATACATATATGAAATTTTAGTTGAAATAAACATTTTGGTATTGAAATCTTTAAGGACAAAATAAAACATCAGAATTAATGATTCCAACATTTCTTATTTAAGTCATCTTTTGAAAAATAACTAATAATAAATAACCTTAGTAAAAATAATTTCATGGGAAATTTGATTGAAATACAAAATTCGGAAGACTGTATGTATGAGAAATTTTTAGTCCAAAATTTACATGTATTTATATTTAGTTATTAAAATTGCCATAATACGCCGATATGCGGGCTCTCGAAACGAAAACTGTCGTAACTCACTTTTTACAAAAGTTTAAGAGGATTTGAAAACAAAATTAAACTAATTCTGTATTTGTTTAAATTAAAATGTCTATTTATAACTCTTAGTAATACTCTTTAAATCTCTTCATTAGTAATTTCAGACGAGTTATGACAATTTTAGTTGGGTAGTCGGTGTAATCTTTGAAGTCAACGACGGTTCGTGATGGTAAAAAAAAATATTGAATAATTACTCTGCATAATTTATAGAATAATTATAAATTAACTGAATAAACTAATAAGGAATAATATTATAATTATAATGACGGGAAGGGTAAAATTATAACGCCCTCTTAGACTTTGTCCAATATTATATACTTAATTGAATCGAAATAAAGATTAATTAGTTTAAATTAATTTAGTTTTATTTTGGGGGGAAAATAAGTTGTTTACGTTCTATGGTACTTCTTACACACAGTAATTAGTTAAATAGTTAATACACAGTGTGTACATTGTATTTTCAAGTGGCGTATACAATTTGTGCGTGGGTTTATACACATATCATATACGCATATTACATATTAAACACTGTTTTTAATTAAAAACACGCGGTTGTTGGAATATATAATTTCGCGTATAATTTCACACGATCAAAAGAAAAAAAAAAATGCATAAAAACAAATTTTAGACTAATAATATCGAGTAAATAAATCGAACAACCATCAGAAATAATATTAATCGCGTTCGTGCGTAGGTGCGTCTTGTTTCTCGTTTAGCATCGTCGCGTCTTTTTGGACGCGTAAAGGTTATTTATGAGTTAGTTATGATGGCTTTTGGTTTTTTTTTTTTATTCAACAATATTGTTTACGAATTAATGATGTAAATATTTGTTTCGCTAATAATTTCCCTTGCCAAAATATTTCCAAGTCCATTCGCGAGTGAATAAAATCATTAATAAAAAAAAAAAAAAAGCTTTTCCGTATTTATAGTACTATAATACTACTAGTATATTATAATAATTGTATGAGGGTTATTTTTTTTTTCAATAGATTTTAAAACGTTAACGAATATTTTTAATTAGTTTATATCAGAGGATTAGGGGGGGAGGGAGAGGAATTGAGTAATTTATGGTAAAAATCCCCCGAGACGATTAAATAATATACGTTATTATATGTTTCGTTATTTCCCCTCCGTTTTATAACGCGTACAAGAAACGTTCCTGTGTACAATAATATTTTATAATCACGTATACTGTATACGATTTAAAGTAATTATTCTTTATTAAGATTCTTGTTTGAAAATCAAATAAGTCACGCCTTTTTGAAATCAATCTTTATTATACCGATTCGCGTGATTCGTGATTGATTAACGATTCCCGTGTATACCTACGTGTAGGTACTTACAATATCGCCGTTGTATATTCGATTTATCAATATTAATATCGATAATAATAGATATGCGGAAACGGTATAGTATTTGTTTGAAAACTTACGCGTCCGCGTCATCAATGTCGGCCAGATCCAGTATTTCTTCTTGGACGGGCGGGCTGTCGTATATCAACGTTTCGACCATAGATCCTTTTGAACTGCCGAACGAAACTCTGAAAACGAGTATTTATACATGATTATAGTTTTTGTAATCTCTACGCTCTCTATGATATTATTAGTCGAAACAAAAAAATAAACAAACATAGATAACGCGCCGTTGCTCAATCTTTGTATATTATTGTTATCGTTATTATTTTATTAGCGTAAAACGAACGGCGCCGGCGTAAACAAACAGAGACCCCCCCCCCCCGTAACTCGTATATTTTTCTGTGTCATGCAGGCGTAGGTGTGAAAATATTTATACGAATATAAATAAATACTATAATACAATAAAACGAGAAATAATAATAATGTTTATTAAACTAAACCAGAACGCCCGGGCGTGGTTGGTTATTTGCGACCGAATTTCCTTATCTTGACCAGGTCACGGCGCGCTTTTCGTGATCAACAGCAATAATATATTAGGCAGGTAAACCGAGTATAATATATAGTAGGCACGCGCATCGCCCCAAGGAACTGTCGTTCTCGGGGGAGGACACATACATACATAGTTCCAGCGTTAAATACCGCTGTCAACTTCAGATACCTTCTCTCCTATATATGAAAATGCGTTTCCATTTACTTTCGGGAAGCCAGCATATTCGTACGGAACAGTAATACCCGGTACAATTTAAATTTTTTAAACCTGAATAATGGACACAATCGGAAACGGCATGATACGCAACTACGACACGTTTCTCCGTTTCAGGTTTGGCCGTTCCGTGGTGCGATGTCGTTATAGATAATGCTAGTCTAATCTAATACGCGTCTTTACTTTTTACGTAGCTGTTTTTTTTTTCGATTTGTTTTAAACAAAAGAAATTGTATAATATTTTGCGCTCTCCGTGTAAACGATATAGGTACGCGGAATAAGTACGCCGACGTTCAAATGTACCTATTATACAATATTATTATTATTATTGGTACACGAACGGAAGAGAATGTTCTCGCTTCGTGCGTGTTTTTTTAACAACGCTAATGTAAAAAATATATATATATATTAATGATCCATTCTCACGATAGACGGCAGTATCTTATTATACGAGGATTACGTATTGTAAGAAATCTGTCAATTGGACGTTACTGTAGAGAACGCGTTTCTAAAAATATAACTCCCTCCTCGTGTCAATGTCATAGAAAATCTCCAAGGAAAATGTCGGTTATTATATAGACGCTAGAGGTCGGTCCGGTCCTATCGAAACGAGATCGTACCAGAGCAGATAATTAAAACAATTTGTTTGACCGGACCACACCTATTGGTTTAATATATTTTTCATGTTATTTAAACCAAGCTCACGAAATTTTTTAAAGTTCGGATCAGGTCAGGCCGGATTACACATAAAAAAAAAAAAAAAACCAACCCGGATCAGGAAAAATATGGTTGTTTAGAACCTAATATTTACTAATCGTATTTACAAATTTTTTAAATCCATAAAAACCAAAATACTATAATATTATTTTTATAATTTGTTGTAATTCAGCAAAAAAAAACTGGACCATGCCAGTGATATTAAAACCGTTATCATTGGACCAAACCCAACCCATAATACGCATGATTATCCCAGACCCGAACCTAAACCAAGAATATACAAACTATTTCGATCGGACCTGACCAAACCCGGATTCCAGTCCGGTCTGACCTCTAATAGATGCAATAAATTAGTATACCTAATTGAAAAAATTAATTTTTTTCAAACTTTTCGATGTTAATACAGTATAATTTCGATGTAACGTAGTCACCGAAGGGACCGGAAATAATGACCGCTATTTATAGATGACCTATAGAGGCATAATACTTGACGGGACCAAAAAAATGATCGTTACATACAGGTGACCGTTAACGGAAGTTTTACTGTAAATATTTTTGTCGTTTACTGAAATAAACATAATTTTACTATAGTGGTACCTATGTCGTACAGACTCGACACTTTTTATAGCTGATTTTCATAAAGGTACCAGCTGTTACGTTATTAATAAGTAACTGCATTGCATAAACTGAAAGCTAATTTTTAAAAAGTTTATCTGAATCGTCTTTGACTACCATAATATAATGTTATTTTGTATTCTTTATTCAAGTGCACTACTATTATAATAAATAGGTACACGCATTAATATTATTAAAGAACCAAGACAACCATCTAGAACTTATAATACATGCGGTCGTGTTGAATTCTAAACCAGTGGTCTGCGGTGTAGCATAATACTCAGGCGTAACCTAAGTATACTTTATAGTATAGAACATAATATGCATTCGATTAATTTAAACTTTCTTAATAGTTGTGCGTTAGAAAATAAAAATACAGGTATACCTACGAACGAATTATTGTTGTGCAGCACATTACCATAAGAATATGGATGTAAGCGTTAGACAAATACATATTATGATCGACAATCAATGTTTAAAAAAATTATATTCATAAAGTTATATTGTCATAGTGTTTTTTAAATGCTAATTCGTGGGCAGAATGATACGTCGAAATAACACTGATGTATAATAATATATATATTTATATTCGTACCTCTATTATCGATACAATGCACAACCTTCGAAGATTTTATTTATTTTTTTATTGATGTCATACTACTACTAATTGATGATTTTTACGGCGCGAAATACTGTTTTTTTTTTTTCAAATAATAAATCATGTTATTCGAATTGAAATATAACCGCTTTCAAGAAAAGCCTGCAAGTTTTAGGTAACCATACCTAATATAATTACAGAAAGAAAAAAAAAACGATTTCTATTATGTTCCGGAAACGTATGATTGACGTTTCGTGAAGGAAACCATCACCGAGACAGAGTTTTTTTCTCGTTTATTTGTATAGGTAGTTAACTTTTTAGTTAAAACACGACAAAAATCAAATTTTATAGTTAAATATAATGTTGTTCGTAATAAAAATGGCTCTCGATGAGAAATATTTAATTTTCATTAACTGGTTATTGAAAAACTTAAATATGTAAAATATGAGTAGGTATCGTAGTTATTGAAAAATTTCAATTGAATTTTTTGAATTTAAACTAATATTAGTGCGTTATTCAAAGGAAAATATTATTATATTTTAACCAAATGTAATAATTATTATTATATAGGTATAATAATAGTATATTTATAGTTAGAATTTTTAAAAAAAACTTAAAAAACTGTAGGTGTAAGAGTATGAAAGTCTTTAATGTTATGTCATAGTATAAAAACGTTTTAAATTGAAAAAGCGGGAAGGATAAGGTTCGGTAAACGTTAAAAATTTTATTATCGTAAAAAATGAAAGTATTCGAAAATAATATTATCATTAATACTCGCATAAATTTGAATGCATTATTGTAATTTTAATATCAAACGTTTACGACGTACTAAAAAATATTCACGTATGGAGTTCTATGTGGGAGAACTAATAATAATAATCGATTAATAATTTATTTACTCAAATATCGTATATACTCCTCGGGCAACTTAATAATAATAACATGTTGAAATTTTTATAGTATAGTAACAATTTATGTCGATAGGATCAAAGAATCTGTGTTATTCAATGTGTTGATCATATAACACCGCTGCGAGATTGGATTTTGCGAATATATTAACCGCGTATGAATAAATTACTGTAATTATTAGACAATAAAAATTAAAAATTAACCTAAAATAAATACGAAATACTGATACAATATAGTACAGTTAATCTTAAAACGTATACTAATACAATATAAGTATTTTTAATATTATTTTTTTTCAGCGGAGAATTTTGTTTAAATTGTCCATGTGTCGTGTTTAGGGGGCGTAGGTAGGGCTGGTTTTGGTGGGAGCCAACCGTAATTTCGAAATTTATAAAGAAATTAAATTCATTTTTCAATTCTCGATCCATTCCTATTTGTTATTATATATAACTGATAAACAGAAACCCCAGCCCCCATAAATAATCTGTACCTAATCTGTTTTAGATCTTTTCACGTTATCGAATTATATTTTATAGTTGGTATATTTCAGTGAAACCGTAGGTAGTTGTATAATCCATAGATAAAAAAAAAAAAAAAAACGTATTCATATAAATTACGTAAAACAAAATATTAAAAATTTTGTTTAAGTGCAACACATGAAACGTGAATTTTTTCGGTAATGTGTTTAGTGTATAATTAATTTGTTTGGTTGGCAATTTTTGTATATAAGTATAATTAATTGCATAGTAGATGTGCATGCAGAAAGTACGTACTTTATTATTACGCTGATGCATAAATTGTTTTGTTGTGCATTTTTAAACGTTTCTTAGCAACGCCAGTCGACTAAAATGCACTTTCGGTTCATTCGATCACTGTTTATTATTATGTTTGGTGCAGTAGTTTTACTCGTACATTATTTTTTTGTGTTGAAAATTGACTCACATTTTAGTAATAACCTACTTTATTTTACCGCAAAATTCTACCTTAATATTATATTAAATTTCATTTTTAGACTATTGATTCAGAAAGAAACCATATTCAGTATGTATAGGTATTATACCTACTACCTAATATTATATATAAAACCTTCCATGTTGCATCCTGTTTTAAATATTTTTTTATTTCGTGCATGATGTATAAATAACGGATATACCTACTTAACCCTTTCATGGTCACGGTGGGTATTGCATGACCCATTATTTCTGTGACATTATAATTTTTCTTTAAATAGTTATAACGAACAAATGTTGTAATTATTGTGATATTTACTATTGTATAAATTCGGTGAACTACTCGTATATCTTCAATCTGGTATTTCTTGTGGAGACATAAAATTTGATCACTAAAATTCGAAACCCCAAAAGACACATCTTTGATACTAACATCACGCACAAACAAAATTGCATTCCGTTGATATCATTTGAGATGTCTGTATGGATGCACAAAGCCAACCTAACACCTTTCTACCGTAACAAAATGGTGAAATCCATATATTGAACAAAAATTTGTAATCAAATCACATTAATCTACGTATAAAATAACTCTATATGTTCCCGTGTTTGAGATCATTTGGTCTAGAGGGAGCCACTAAAAATGCCCATAAGTACTGGCAAATCTATGTAACAAATTGTACAAGTATGTACAATTTATATGTATAATTAAGTAACAGACACAATAGTGCAATAGTTTATATTTTCGTCGAAAATTCGACAAAAAAATTAGGTAATAATTATATCAAAATGTCTAGTATTTTTGGTCCCTCTAAAATTATCCTCGATATTTATTTTGTATTTGCTTTATACACATTGAAAAATACCTATAAGTATTATGTGGATAATACGAAATTATAAACATTATTATTTTCCAAACTGCGTGCGTGTAAGGTGAACTGTTCTATACAGACAGTAATTTCACGATTTTCGTACATAATATTATCTCATTCAATAACGTTTACCTACTCAGATATATAAAAAAATAAATATATTCAAATCATTTTACCGTCGGAATTTGTTTGTTTTTTTGTTTCTTTCAATTTTGTTTCTATTATATCTAAGTACTAAACATTTTTTAATTTTTTTTTTACAGAATATTATACAGGTATTCCAAATTTCATGTTATTATACAACTACACAAGTCATTTTTCAAAAAAAAAAATAACAACAAATATTTGGATGAATCTGTATAGCAAAAGCACATTTCCCCCCCCCCCTTGTGATTTTATCCAAAAAAAAATATAATCATTTACTTTTAAATACACTATAAGTAATATAAGTGGGTGTAGGTAATTTCCGACGTTATTGAATTCTCGTGCGCAACGTTTTATTGGTAAGTATTTCGCTCGGGTAAATAATTCGATAAGCATAATAATAATATATATAATTTTACGTTTCGCCGATCGGATTTGCTGTTTTCTGTAGTTCCAAGATTCCTTCCGGATATAGGGCGATGGTTCTAAAATAAAACCGACACGTTTATGCACGACGACGACGATGATGATGATGATGACGTAATTGCCATCGGCAGGCGTACGCGTGGGAAGAAACAGTTAAAAAAACCGCGACACAATAATATTGTTGCGCAACTCGAATCGGAGTTCATCTAAATGTACTTACGCGAAATAAAAATCGTCCTGCTATACGACAATGACGTATAGAATTATTATTAATTAAGATGCGTAGGTTTTTTTTTATTTGAAATAATAATAATATTAATAGGCTGCGCACCAAGAGAAAAATTAGCCTTTTTAATCGGCCAATGTCAAAGAAATAAATTTTCATCGCTTTGTTTCTGCGAATGACACATGCAGAACTTTTAAACTTTTAATGGGTTTTTTTTATTATTATTATTAAATCGTAAAAAAATATAAAAATATACGAAAGTTATTTATACGCAATCTCGTAAAATATAATATAGTTTGTTTTCAAAAGTGCGAAAATCAAATTTATTTGTTTATAATGTAATATAACGAGTTAGTTTAAAACAATACTTAATAAATGTTAAATTTTAAATATTAATCACTGATTATCGTCAAGTAATAATTTTTACCGTCGGAAAAGGAAATTACCGTTTTATCGAAGTTAATATAACATTATAAAATGGGTATAGTAATTGAATTAAAATATAATTACATAAATTTTGTAGATATGTTAGAAAAAAAAAAAGGATTACGATATATTGTATCTACTGTTACTAATATAACCTACTTGTGTTTATATTTGACGTCGTTTTTGGATTTCGATTTTGCGTGGTATTTTTCGTTTTACTTGAATGTTAAAATATAATATTTAGAATTTCATTATAAATTCCTCACATATATATTAAAAACTTACAATTTTAACTAAATGTATTTTTTTGTCGCTCCATATAAATTGTATTTCAGTTAAACGAATTGTATTTGAACGCGCGATTTTAATTGCAGCTCAAAGTTAAAAAAAAATAAACGCTTGAAATTTATTTTTCACCGTTTATGTTCAAGGGGGCAGAGATTATTTTCATTTTGAACATTTACCTCTTTATAAATGAATCTATCAATTACTCGTGTCGCAATCATCGATAATTTCAAGTTCTCGTATTACGAATTTTTAACATTTTTTACTACCCAAAAGTGTTTCTTGAGCCAAATAATAATAATAATAAAAAAAAATCATCATATAATATAATTAATAATTTAACTATATTTAGAATATTCAGAATATTCAGAAGTATACTGATGTATACGTTTTTACTTTATTCTAATGTTAATTCAATGATTTTATCATAAAATCATAAAAATAATATACATCAAAATTGTTGGCGAAAATGATAATAATCGACACAACCAAAGATATAATGATCGGTATTGTAAGCTCTTCTCTAATGAGAATAAGTTTAAATTCTCAAGTTATTAAGTAAACGTATGTCTAATCATATCACCAAAGTATCGCAAATAAAACATAAGCTATCATTCATAAATAATGAATATACTTGTATTCAAATTATTATTATACGAATAACATACGTGCGAAATACACGAGCGGTATCAGGTCAAGGTTTAATTTTTACAACATTTTTATAGACGCAATGAAAAAAAAAAATTGCCAAAAAATTTGAATACGTTGTTTATTTGAAGATACCTACTCGAAATTCGTAGACAGTTATATTATTAAGAATTTGTCATTTTTTAATATGTAATAAAAATGATATTACAATATAATATTTTTATAATATTTTTTTTATCACTCTCTCGTTTGACAGTATTACCCATATAAGTATAATTAATACAAATTGGCGTAGGCAAATAAATTCGCAATAAAATAACTGTACGTTTATCACAGGTGCTCTTTTTTTTTTTTTATTTAAATATTAATCGGTTTATTACCGTGCAGCGAGTCAATTTTTTTAATGGTAACCATATGTAATAATATATAGTATACACACATTTATAAACTTTATAGCTTTTTTTTTTTTTACCATGTGCGATATGCCAGCATTGCCTTTGTTTGGCCGTATATAGACAAGTGTTATTTGCCATCGTAACGCATAGGTACAGTAGTTTTATTATTTTTTTTTTTCGAAACGCATATTACTATATGTGCCCAATATAACTTTAAGATACACAAAATATAATATATTGGTTATTTTAACTATGTATATGTGAAGGGGTGGCCAGAAACTAGCGGCTTAATGTCGGGGTGTACCATGCTCGGTACCAATATATTTATATACTATGCAGCGAGAATAAGGCCGAAACACCTGTCAATATAATAAATTACAAACCGATAAAAAAAAAATGATGTATTGTCGTAAAGACTAAAGATATGATATACCCGACGAAAAAACTGCAGTTATCAAACTATAACTTTTATACCCATAACTTTTGTAGTTCTGAAACAAATTGTATACATTTTTACTCGATGATATCCATTTATTGAGCGTAAATTTGACTATTGAAACAGTGATAAGCAAAATGAATAAAATTCCAATATTATAATATATAACTGTAAACAATTTTTATTTTAATTGTAATAATATTATGTCAGTGTCATTATATTGATGGTATTATTTTACTTGGACTATAATTTAACGTTCTAAAACTATTATTATTTTTTAAACATTAGGTGAATATTTTATATAGTTTAAGGTTATTAGGTTACCTACATTGACTAACTCTATGTTTTGGTTAGACAAAATTATATAGTTAAATATTATATTTGCTTGCAGTCGAAAGTTGTTGATAAAATATTTTATTTATTTTTAAGATTACGAGTACAGCGTAGAAGCAGCTTATTATTTTTACTGCGTTGTGTTTTTTTTTTTTTTTTTATCATAAAACCCTTTTCTGGTTAGTAAAAATGTTCGAAATTATTCGCAAGGCACTTTAAAATGTACTTATTTTTCTTCCCGTGGTAATTTATTTGAAACAAAAAAACAGATTTTCAATAAAATTTAAAAATGAACGTCGATAAATCTGCAGTTTATTTTTGTTGTTTTCTAGGTCAAAAAGGAAAAAATAAATATGACTAATACCACTACGCTCGTTCAGAATTGTTCTTTATCATTGCTTTGAGTACATAAATTAAATTACCCTATAGGTATCCTATATAATTTTTCCAATTTCCCACTAACTACAGTGGATACAGTGGATTATTCATGGCGCAAAGTACGTCCGGCTTTTTACATATATTTATATATAATATTTCTAATTTTAGTTTTCTAAATTAAACCACGTTAATACGATTTTAACTAGTTTAAAATGATAAAATGATATAGTATTGTTAAAAAATCATAAGTTATTTATGACGTTTTGGTCACTATCTCTGTCTTATACATGACTTAGTGTGAGGCGCGCTGTATTATGAACCATGGTACACATTGTATTTTGCGCCAAATTTTGAAAGTCACATTTCTTGGCACTAAATTATTATCTGTGTTCCAAGTTATTCATTCAATATAATATAATACAGTTTTCTAATAAAAAAAAAAATATCATCGTTTAAAATATCTGGTCAATTATTCACGGTATTGAACTTTATTAGTTATTATTTATTAAGAACGTTTATGCGCGGTGTACACACAACAGTTGCATATTATGTGTGTCGGTTTTATTTTACTACTACAGCAATAACCGTAACCCTGGACCCATTTCTGTTTATTTAATTGAAGGGTAAAACATAGAGGGCGGCGGTCTAACGCCTAGGATAAATAATTGGTCTGCATACTCAAGGTCCGAATAGCATTAAATAAGAAATACTTGTCTAAGTAAACAAATTATTATTATTGATTGAAGTTATCTTTTTGTTCACGAAAATATCTAATAATAATACAGCAATGTAATTGGCGTATTGTAAAAATATATTCCGTCGAAAATTAAGAGTTCGTTTAGATTTCAATAAAATTTTCATATAATATATTCAAAAAATAAATAAAACAAATGTTGTTATTCTTTGGACAAAATAACTTTTATACGACAAAGTAAAAATGTATACAGTAACTTGATGCAAACAAATGTATGCTTTTACGCCAACATAAAAGCGCCCAGGGCCTTTTGAAATCCCCGGTTACCAAGGGGGTTGAATATTTTATATTCACTTAGTTTTCTCTCGATGGTATACAAAGAATTGTCAAAATGTAAACGTTTTATTATTATTATTATTTAAACAATATTACTGTTACTGACAATAAAGACTCGAGGAAAAAAAATCATAATACAAAAGTTTTAATAATACATTACGTAATGTTTTTAAAGGAAACCAAGCATATATTTTGTACAGGTAATAATATTATTAAACAAAATTACATTATTGTAATTTGGAACACAACATTTTCTTTGACGTCGTAGATGTATTCTATTTCAGGTGTAATCATGATGCCTAAAAAATGCTGAACAAATAGTTTATTTCTAAATTCGTAAGCTATGTACTAACTAGCTATATACCAGCTATGTACTAGCTATGTACTAGCTATGTAATAGGTTTTATTGTTTAACTATGTAATAAAGATACAAAAATGTCCTAATTAAATCGATATTTTATGAACGGTCAACAATTTTTATCGTTTCGAGAAAAATCAAACGAAATTTGTATAGACGTATCTTTATGTGTAAAATACCAAGTAAATATAGGTAACTATCGTAGACATATAATATTATCAAGTATAAAAATAATATTTTTACTAGGTACGAATAAAATTCGAGTTATACTTGTACAAACGAAAAAAGGGGTACTTCTATTATAGTCTCCTGAGGGTGAACGTAATAATTAAATTGTTGGTTGTTAAATTATGTTATTATTATTATTATCATCGTTGTTACTATTCAAATTAAAAATATACTCTATTATACTCGTATCATGGGCGTTCCGGGTGTTATTTTGTATTTTCTTCCCCCTTACAGGTACCTAGCTAGCCAATCGGAGAGTTTTTTTTCCCTTCGTCATGAACAAATTAAACGATTTTTTTTTACACAACGTATCTTATAGACTTAGTATAGAAACCACATTTTAAAATAATTTCCACGAACAATCCTGAAAGTACGAATTCGTTTTATTATTCACTCAAAAATGCTCCATTTAAAAAATCTATAAAACGAAACTGGTTGTTTTTTTTAAATTTAAAATAGAAAGTTTTTTTTATAAACGTGACACTCTATCAGTACAACGATTAAGATCTTTAAACTATGTAACTAAGTAGATACGTATGTTTGATTTTTATTAAATTATTATATATAAAACAAACCACCATTTTTTTTTATTCGTAAATTTGTAATAATTATCATTATAGTAAGTACTTGTATAAACTTTAAATAATTAAAAACTTTACATTTTTAAATTAAATTACAAAATATTAACATTTAGTTTTGAGTGAGACCACGTTCGTCAATAATGTTTTTACGAGGGTTTCGTGACAAGCATATAAAGGTCTCCATTCAGATCGGAGATAAGTCTATGCAATTATAGATCTAAAAAAAAATCCACGATTTCGAGTTTAAACGATTTAAAGTTTCCATAATATTTAATTCGTATACAGCTAACATATTATTATACTGTAGTTTAGACACAATTACTGGAAATAACGTTTTCGATATCACGATGTATAGTACAAAATAGTATATTATTAAGTTCTTTTTAGATACCTAGGTAATTGATTTATTATAGTAAAAAAATATGTAAACAATCGGTGCGAGTTGTCCATTCGTAAGTTCTGATGACGATTATTTTCTCGATTTCTCGGATCATATAAAATTATCTAATAAAAGATTACTACAACTCAGAAGTTGAAATTTACCTATATATTATAATTCAATGTAAAATTAAAAGCAAATATACATCTATACATTGAAACTATTAAAGCAGTATTGTATTTTTTGCAAATAAAATTCGTACCGCATGTAAATACATAGTTTTCCGCCAATTCCGACAATATCCCATGAGAGTCGAAATTGGTTACGCATAGTTTGTATTCTATTTAAATATTACAAACGAAATAGATTGTCTACATTGTCCTATACATATTATAAAGGCTAAATCACGTCAAAACTGCTGAACTGCTTCGGATGAAATTTCGCACGCAGATAGAATGCGTTCTGGTTTAACACATAAGGTACATTTTATCCCGAAATTGAGCCAAACTGGTGGCTGATACGGGGTATTTGGTATTTTTGAAATGAAAATCGAATCATTTTTGTTGATTAGTGGGATTACTTTGGCGACACGGATGAAAACAAAACCATTTATTATTATTTCATTCGGTTATTACGGACAAAAATGGGCTGGATGACTATAGGTCACCTATAATATAATATTATAAATTAATAAATAAATTGTGATGAAGTGAATTGGTTTATTTTTTTTTAATAAATAATATTATGTTTAGAACTCAGAAAATTTGGCATCGTATTATTATAACTAAAATTAAAACTACGTGCACGCGTCAACATATACACAGTGCACACTAAAAAAATTGACCAATATTTTTAATTAATGAAATAATTCCTAGTTTTATCCCCAAAATATATGCGTTCATATTTTTTGTTTTCACATGATATGATATTATAAATTGAGAGCACACCGTATAGAACTGTGTAATCCCACTATTAATTATTAGTAGAATTGTTAATATTAAAAGCCTACTCTAAATCTAATTAAGGTCATTGTAATCACGAAATTACCCAGGTATCGTATTAATCTAAAACGAGCGGTAAAATATTTATACGATTTTCAACAATTTATAATCTTGTATTTATATCGTCTACGGTTGTCTGCAGCAAATATTTAAATAAAACACATACATAATTATTACCTATATTTCAATAATTAATTATTAATTTGTTCATTTTGCTTTTTGAGTACAAACAAATGCATAGCAAAAACACCCAATTCAAAATGTGAACATTCGTACTAAAAGCCGTAAAGTATTATTATTTATTTTTTCAAACTGTACCTACACGAGTACATGGTTATTATATATTTTAACAAACAACTTTTCTCATTTTAACATTTCAATTTCTGATGAGATAATCGATTTAAACAAGTACGTTTCTTCGACTGAACTCTGTTAATTTATTATAAGATGTATACGTATACATTTGAATAATGATTCGAGTAAACCGTTTAATTACCATAACGTGCAGTCAAATTAAGCGCCAAGTAAATTTTGTTGAATTAAATAAATGAATTCTAACGCTGTACCCAACATATAAGAGTAAAATCGATTGTTTTATGAAAATATACGAGATACTATATACTTATAGTTTTGTACTGTAAACGCAGTATACTGCATTGAATACCTAATTCGTCGGTAATACCGTTCGCAACAGACTTAAACGATTTTAAACCCAATTTGAGATTTAAGTTTTTTATTTAATATATTATAAATTTGTTTTGAAACAAAGCGACAACAACGCGCGGTTACAGATTGTTAACATTTTGATCGTAACTGCATTATTATGAGAATGTAAAAACAATAGTAAATGCCAGTATTTTAAACTATTATTTGTTGTTTGCACAAGTACTTATAACCTGTATAGTGCGTATACATATACAGATTAAACGTCTATATTTTATCTTATACATAAATAGTTTATTTATTGTAGTTATTTAAAGTTTAAAGCAACATATACGACCAATAATAATAAACCGCCAGTCCACGATATTATACACTGCAGTCTACTAATTTATACGTTTATTATGGACAATGATGTTGAATAGGTACAGGTACCCGTATAATAATTGAAAAGTTTAGATAAACTAACATCGAGATTATAATATCACGAGTAATATACACGCAGTCAGAAATATAATATTTGTAAAAAATATATGTATCGTAAAAATTAACGGTTACAAAATTGTAAATAATTTTGTTAATAACGCCGAAAAGGTGGATTATATTTTACAAGCGCGTATCGTCTAATACAATTATTATTATATAATATAATAACAATATAACTGAAGTATTCAATTTTATTAATTTTTATCGCGAAAAAAATGCCATTTTAACTGCGGTATGCGTGGTATTACATGCATCGTAAATGTGTTCGCACTTTAGAAGGATATCATCTATCTACCTAAATGATAACAATAATAATACTAATAATAAGAGCAATAATAAACGTCCCGGTTAAGAGGTCGTCAAAGTGGCATTTGTCACCTCTGTCTTTCTATAACGGGTGGCAAAACGATAACGCGCAATACGCACGCAATGGCTTTTAAAATCGTTTTTAGCGAGATAAAACGCCAATTACTACGAAATGTGTAGACGAGGGAGACGTCGAGGAAGATGTCGACGTTGACGTTTTACGATTAGAGAATCCTTTAGAGAATTACGTAGAGACGACGTCGTATTCGATTCATTTTCGTTTTAAATAACCACGACTGTTTTTTTTTTTTAATAATCACCCGATATTTCAAAAATCCAAGACGAGGTTGTCCGGCGACGTATCCAGAATTTTGAAATTGCTGGGGGGGTCAAAGCCAAACAATTTAAAAAAAAAATACCCAACAGTTAACAAAAATAATTTGTTTTATTGTTACAAGTTTTTAGACCTAAATATTTAATAGTCTACTAATTTTATCACTGTAAACATGTATTGCTATGGCCACACTATCCAATTTCAACGGCCCCTTTATGCACCTTTATGCCCCCTTAAGTATATGATCTATGGTTTTACCACAGAATGTGCAGCTGCTGGTACCTGCAGCCTAAACCAGGTTAAAAAATAGCTATAACCATAAAATATCAACCGTTTTGATATGTGATAAAAACTGATTAAATAAAAAGTTGTTATCAAACAAATTGATAAGAATTAAGAGCACTAACAACCCGTAGTAAATTTTTCAAACGTATAAAATTAATTGTATAAATACGTAAAAACGTTGATATAGACAACAATATGGGAATGGCATTACAATCAACTGAACTCCGCTCAGAATCGTTTTTTCGTAAGCAATGGTTTATTGTTGATTACAGATGTACATTAAATTTCCGTCTATATCCTACCTTTCCAACTTTCCACCTACACCAGTGGCTGCACCCGTCCCCATTATCTTACCTTTTTTTTTTTTTCGTAAAACACGCACATATAAGTATAATTGCAGCAAATCGGACGCCACACCGGCGATTAGTGCGGAACTAAAAATAACAAATTGCGGAAATTTTTTCACTAAGCGCATACTAGTAATCGCACTTGCAACGACGTCGGAGTATTTTTATTCGTGCGAGGTATTTTATGTACCTGTTATGCTATTATTTTCGAATTGAATTGCGTGCTGTTTCGATTGCCGCCGTACAAGACTATAATATACAAAGGTGCAATTAATCGCGATATGTTCATCGTATATACATATACCTACCGCCGCAGTACACATACAATTGTACACGATTTTTTACACGGAACAATAAACGTTTTTTAAACGAGTGATGTTTTACACGCCGCACTCTTGTGCGATCACAAAGCGTCCATAAAATATTACAATGTACCCTATATAATTTTGTTTTATTTTTTTAATAATCTAATACATTTTCAGTATTTCGAGTTACGCACGCATACAAAACGGACCGTATCGGAGCGCGTCGGATGTAATGGCCAGGGACCCGAATCGGTTAAAACTTATTAGAACACACACGTGTTACAAAATATATTTTTCGCGGAGTTAAAAGCAGAACGGATGAAATATAAAAATTTAAAAAAAAAAAAAAACAGAGTAATTTTTATAATACATTATACGAAACAAAAGATGAGCGTTGTTTATCATATTATTTTAATATACACCGATGACGACATAATATTCTAATACGAGTACTCGTAATAATATTATATAGTGTGCGTGTATGTAAAAATTATCCGGTAAAATTCGTATGTGTGGGCGACAGACGGTATGATAGTATTATAGAGAATATTATATTATTACTATTATTTTTTTTTTTTATTCAAGGTCGTTGGGAATTTTACAAAGACGCTGTAACCGTAAACAGATTTTTCGTAAAATATTCTGTAGTACTTATACGGAGCGCGTGTCGACAGATTGACGGTTTAAAAATATGTTATTTACGTATAGATATATATACAACGACATAGATCGAAGGTAATAAATTCGTATTGTAACCGGTTGAATAGGTTAGGATAGGTTAGGCTAGGTGCTTGTCGTCGTCGGCATTGACGCATTTTTTTCACGCACAATTAAAAATAAAAATCAAATAACTGCGGATTCTCCACGTCGAAAACAATAATACACGTTTTGGATATCGAACATTATTGCAGTATAATGATCACCACCGCTGCAGTTTAGGTACTCTGCAGCATCCCGCCGTAATACGGTACGAAATATTATACTCATAATATACGACGTACGGTCGTAAAAATACTGACGGTCATAAAACAACGGTCGAAAAAAAACACATTTTGTGAAGTATACCTTATTAATTATAAAAATATAAAAACAATTGCGTTTTATGTACGCTTTCCTTTATTCGATTAACACGACAAGTGACATTACTATCTCACTATTCACGATAGAAAGCAAATGTAGGAGCGCTGTATAGTCGCAATTGATAACGGGGTTATGGGCATAGATGGGTGATAAGTATAAGACTGTGAATTTGTAGGAGAGTACATTTTTTTTAGCTGATTGTGAAACGTAACTTTCTAAGTACATAATTTGAATTATGTAGCAAACAGTTTACGAAACTTTTATTTTGCATTTTTTGATGTTTTAAATTTTTAAGTTCATTTTTTGGAAAAGTTATATTTTCCTTTTTAGTTCATTTTCCGGTATTTTAAATTAAATTCCGTCAATTAACATCGTTACACGCATATTTTTTTGTTTACATAGGCTGTACATACGTCAAATTTATATTTTACAACAAGTTGTATTATTATTTTTTTTAAAGAAATAATTTTTATTAAATAAATTTAATTTGTATCAGTAATATCATAATAAATATAAAAATTATTTTAAGTGCATTTTATATTGTATTTTTTGAGACTAAGTGCATATTTTATAGCATTTTATATGTATTTTTAAAGGTTTTTCAGTTCATTAAATTCACAGCCATAGTGATAAGAAATAATGCGACTAAATATGGATTGGAGCCTATAGACAGTAATAATTATCGAATTAATTATTTATGTTTTAGTTCCCGGTGTCAGCCCATTTGCGAAAGCGATAGAAATATAGCGTAGACGTACAAAGTTAATCGCCTCTGTACAATTGACGGATAATTTCGACTTAAGTCCCGGTATTCAAAAGTGGTACATATTAGGAATTCTGATCCCGGTCTATACTTCGAGGATGTAGAGATGACGTTCACCTAGACAAGTTTTTGTAATATATTCGCACTAATTTATTTATGTATAAACATAAATAAATTATAATGAATTAAAATGTGAAAATTAAAAAAAAAAACTATGTAAATTTGATTTTTAAAAGTTCGGATCCCGACATTAGTGAATTCCCGAATTTGAACTTAAACTGCAGATACCACACGATATTTCTCCGAAAGGGCAATCGTACAAAGGGCAGACAACGGCACAAAAGTAATATTTATAAATATTATTCGTTTATTTATTTTAGATTCTGAGTGGAGCGAGGAATGTATTGGTTTTACAACGATGTTTTTTTTTCTATGGACAACTTTTCTCCTAGCAATTTTTCTCAGATTTACAATGGTAGTACATTTTCTAGAAGAAAATCTCAGTGGAGAGGTACATTAGGGAGGTACTATAGGGAGGTCATTTTTTGATTGTCCTAGGATTTTTCCCCAGGAAATGGAAAAACCTAGAAAACCTAGGAAAAACGGGAAAATAAACACAATATTAAAAAAATATTTAATGCGTATGTAATTATTTTACTGTAATATGAAATATTATATATTTTTGACAAAGCAACACTATCAACCGAACTCCGCTCAGAATCGTTTTTTCGTTAGCAATGGTTTATCGTCGCTTATAGATATATATCATTAAATTTTCCCTCTTACTACCTTCCTAACTTTTCACCAATACAAGTCACTGCACCCGTCACCATTATCTTGGGACAGCTTTTTTTTTGTTTAAATCGACGTTTATTATAGTTTTTTTTAAATCGAATTCCCGGCGCTCTCAATTGTACAAAACGTTATAATTATTAATTTTTTTTTTTCATTAATTTTAATGTTATATGTCGTCCTACTGACCTTTTCAACGTGGCCGGTTTGTTGGCCGGCCGTTTGTCGCCACCGTGCGTGGCCGGCAGCACGTCGACGCTGGACGCGATGCTGTTGGCGCTGTCGTCCTTGACCATGCTGCGCCTGACGGGCACGGCGGGCAGGGCGCCGAATCCTTCGCGCTGCTGCAGTAGGGTTCCGTCCTGCACGCTGTTGAACGTGATGGACGGCGGACGGCTGAATCGTTGGTACGCGGTAGTGGTGGACACCGCCATCGACGACTTGTGTTCCAGCGTCAGCCGGCTGGGCACCGCGGGCGGTTTGTCGTTTACCGAGGGCGCCATGTACGACAGCATAATACAGTTCGCTGCAGTCATTCACCACCACCGTCGACGGGTAGCCGCGTACGGTCGTCGGAGACAGGAGTCACGTCGTCGTCTGCGAAACACGTTAAACAGAGAATTAAGGAAAAACGTATATATGTATTTTTTTTTTTTCTGAAGGTATTAAATACAAAATTCGATTAATCTATAGATAGATTTGTAAATGTGAAAACGGAAATCTTTGTCGCGCAGGTTTTCTGAACCTACTAGACCGACTTTTACGCGGTTTTTCGCAAAATTATCCGCGTTTTCCGGAGAAGATTTTAAACTATTCAAGTCCTCGATCTGATCAGCGGTGGAAGTAGTAGACCTAACCTAACGACGACCGGATCATCGCTGAGCGGCTAATAATAAACAGTTAAACAGTTTTAGACCGCGTCAGCAAGAGAAACTCGCTGCGAGTCCTAAGCCTGGGTTAAAATGGGAAGGAAAACGGAGATTAAAATATTATGCTTTTATTCGCCTGTAGTAACCTAACCTATAGCACAAAGATAGGCATTACAGCAAAGCCGGGCGGGACAACTAGTTATGCTATTGCTTACCGAATATATTAAATTCAAAAAATGTACGATGCAAGCAGACAAATAGTTCTTCTTCTCCTACGCCTTCGTCCTGACTATTCGGAGTCGGATAATATAGGAAAACAAATAAACATTGGGTTACGCAGGTATGCGTGAGAAAAACGCATACAGTCCAATAGTTCAATATTATTATGGTTGCGATGATTTAGCCGCTGTATTTACTGTTTACGGCAGATTTGGAAAATCATCGTCGGGCAATATAACAAAATCAAACGAACCATGAATGTCAATAATTACAAAACGTTGTTATAACAGATATTATTGGCCGGAGATGATGTTCGAAATCGAAACCGGTCTTACATATGCAAACACGACTAAAAACCATGTAGGTAGCTGTTCTCGACACGTTTAAGAAGTCGTCGCAGTGGCACCGCCGGCTTTGACTTGCTATGACGGACGATACAAAAAAAATCGCCTTAACCTAGTATGAAACATTTTGTAAACGACATTTTTAAGACCGTTTAGTCACGGTATTTCGAACTATTAATAATTAAAGGAACAAAATTAAATATTTATACATGGAAAATCGATCGTTTGTACCTTCGAAAACGAGTTGAATTTCGAGAGAATTGTAAAACGCCGAAATGTCGTCGTCTACAGTTTTTCTAAATCGGCATTTTATCTTTTGAAAAATGCCGACGTTAATGGCGTGTCACGCGAACGCGGTTTTTGCAGCTACTGAAGCTCATTTAAGGGGTTTAGAGAACTGGCGTCATTTCAGGGGATATAAGGTCCGAAATAAGTTTTTAGTATAATAACTACTATACACTACGTATTAGTGACGTTGAAACGTATGCCATTCGGCCTCTGGATACAAATATAATTCACGTAATAATTTTTTAAAAAAAAAGCCCAAAGAGGCGATCGCCTCAAATCCGCCACTAAATATTATATACAGTTTTACGAGGTGGGTATGGCCGATGTAGCTACCGATTGCGTATACCGTGTGCTCGACTCATTATTTTTTTATTACATTGCATTATCGTCCGGCAGCACGACGGCGCGTCTTGTATGTATGTTATACGAATCATCATTAGGTAAGGTATATATACGATTTTTTCGGTTCAGAATACTATCATCCTCTCCGGCCCCGACACTGTATTAAGAAGAGTGCAGAGTATAATACAGTAGGCAGTACCATCTACTGATGGTGTAGCGATCGTATTTCGTATTAAAAAAAATATATTTTCTAGGTCCTATGATGTATAATAATAATAATAAAATGGCCGAAAACGACTCGTACGCGCACGCGGCAAACATTAAAGTTGTATTATTATAGGATTTTTAACACGGGTATATATTGCGGTAGTTATTACGACGCGGAACCTGATGTTGAAAAATCGAGATTTTTTTTTTCTTCTAAACTCCCCGCCCCTATTATTTCCACCGCTGCACAAACTCGAAAGTTACTGTAATATATATATATATATAAAATGCTGCGGCAATTATAAAAAGTCACTATGGTGATCGATGTTCGCCGCGCATGTACATTATGCGGGAATTCAATACTCGGGATTGCCGCAAGTCATCCGAAACCAGTAGCGTGCTCGGGAGTTTTCATACGGGATCGTATGGCAAATATCAATCATAAATAAATAAATAAAACGATGGGTGGAAATTTTAAAGCGGGGTTAAAAAAAAAAAAACCTATTTTAACCGATAAATCAAGCTTTTCCTTGTAACTCGGCTGAAATATACACATCGCTTTTCAAGATAAAACTATCGATGGAATAAATATACTCATAGTTGTTGGGTTGAAAAGCCAACAGGGCAGAGGGATATAACCCTTAACCACCCTTACCCTACCCATATCTATACGGAAACTTGCCTATTCGTACGCTATTCAATTTTAACAAATAATTTATACGTAGGTATATGAAAAATTAATAGTTTCTAATGGATTTACGTTCACCCCGAGGGCACGATTAATTAATTTTGTAAGTTTACAGCGTTCAGTATGATACGATTAATGGAGTATATAGGCACCGTGAGTACCTACTATAATATGATGGATATCGCTGCAACCTTCCATACGTCTGTGTATAATAATAATATATGCTCACAATATTTTCAAGTCAAAATTATAGTAAAATTTGTATTTGTTCGCGCGGGAAAGATAAATTGTTTCAACAAATAACAAGTGAGTACGTTATCGTAGTCTGATTTCGTCGAAATATTTCGGACCTAGTTACATAGTTTATATAAAGTTAATAACTTTCGATACCAAAAAGTATACCGAAAAAAAAAAAAAAAAACGTATGATAATTTATTGACAGAACAATTTAAAATCTTTCATCATACGGTTTTCTGATAGGTATAAAATATCGTACTGCACCGCATATTACGTGTTTTAAACTTTATTTCACGCGCGCACTTGGATGTTTCAAACGGTTTATAATTTCGTGTCCATTTTGTTATGTTTATAGGTGCACACAGTATGAACTCAAAACGTTTAGTCGAAGTAAAAACGCTGTTTTCGATAAAATTCGGTTGTACTCTCGGTTTTAATTTTAGACATTTCATCATTAAGCACACGCGGAGCGCGCGTGCGTGCGGATCGGGTCAGTTTTCCGTTGAAATCGCTGTGGTCCGATGAATAATATTCGCGAGGTGGATAAAAACAAATTCGATAATATTTTTTGCTCGAATTTAATTCGTGACTGGAACTTCTAATGTCCGTGGCAAAATATCGTATTAAAGCCCGAAAAGGTCTTTCAAAAAGACCACCACCCGTCCGATAATGCCTCGGACCTGGGCCCGTGCCGTTCGTGCCCACGTTGCCCGTCCAGTATTTGCGCCGCTGGTTTCCGTACACCCGCGTTCGATCATTCAATCGTTTTCCCACATTCGGCTGTAAATTAATCGAACGATTTCCAGAACCGACCGATCGGCGCTCGTCGCCGTCACCACGCGACGGCGGAGGCGCGGGCGCGACCGACACGAGTCCCATATTATATTTTCCGATTTCGACGCGCCGGATACGTTTGACGAGAACAATAATTAGAAAATTCGACCACAATACCGTATAGCGTTGTAATAACAATACCAGCGACATTGTCATCATATACGTATCTGCGCTGCCCAACACTAATACAATACATTATACGCACGGAGCGTACTGAGGCCCGCCTGTTCGGCGATTGACTTTGGTCACGTACGGCGCGCGCGCCCGTAGTTTTTTTTTTTTTTTTATAATATTACGATATACGCGAACAACGCTACTCGCATCGTATATATTACCGAACCTGCAGCTATAACACCGCGCGTTTTTATCGTCGGGCCCGTCCCAAACCCGGTTGTATCCTCGTTCATTATCGTTTGCCCGGTGTACGTAACATTATTATAATGATACGTACGTATCGGTACCTATAGGCGCTTTTCACGGTCCGCCGAGCGCAAAATATTTCGAAATTCACACTTCGACGTCGTCGTCATCGTCGCGCGCGCGCGTACAAAACTGTTATTGGGGGTACACGAGCGGGTATTTTCCGACAGTTTTGGCCTTTCGTACTTCAGAACGGTCACATCGGAACGATAGTTACAGTATGGACGACACGTTTAAAAATCCCGCGATGCGCGGTTTTAAAAACCGTACGAAAATCCGTCGCGAATTCGTCTGGGCATTCCAAAAACTGTTAATAGTACAATTAGTAGCCCGACAGAACCGCGTCAAATCCCCTTGGCATATTACAGTTGGGTCTAAAGGTCACGGGACACATCCGGATCGATGAAATATCCGGCAGTTCTTACACCGCTAACCGGCGATTCTGCCGATCTTTCAAGGGTTTGTACTCCGACAACCGAGAGGACAGTAATGTCGCGTAAGCGGGCAACGGACAGATCAGAACCGTGACATTCCGAAACTGACGATTGAACCGTCCGTCGGTTATGGATCGCGGTTAAAAACTTTCAAAAAAACTATTCGTGTGTGACGGCCTACTATTCGGTAGGTTTAACTGCAGCAGCAGTCCGCTGCACTCGCCGGTGGTAATTTTACCGTCGCATTTTTATCGGATAGATAATAATACAAAAAAAAAAAAACATGTTCGATTAGAGCCCGGAGAGAAAAATTCAAAATATTATGTAAAAACAAATTTTATAACCGGTGCGATAATACTCGTCTACCTACAATAATATTATTAATACCGCCTATTATGGTCATATAATTGTTTTAACTACCTACGTGTGTACCAACATACGTAATAATTTTGCACAGAGTTACATTTCACTTTCTTTGCGTGTGTGTATACATTATTTACGCTGAAAAACTATCATTATAATAAAATATGATGAAAGGTTTTACGTATACTCGCGTAGGTACCGCGACATCAAATAATCGTATCTAAAATAATATTATTTCCGTGTCGATAAAGGTGATTTTATTTTATGCGTTTTTTTTTTTTTTTTTATGCAATATTCGTAATTATCGCACGCGAAAACCGTTTATTGGAACTTAAAGGCGTTGACGACACGTATACACCGCGTGCGTGCGCATACTGAGTATTACATATATTTACCTATATACAATAACGAGTACGTAAGTATTGAAAATCTATAACGCGGACCGTCTTAAGAGGACGCTATACTCGCATGTGCTGTCTCAGTCCAATTGTGACAGCGTAGAATTAGCTTATTTTTGGTTCTAGAGTAAAAGCCCCTTTTATAAAATTAAAAGAAGACAATTTTTCGGTGGGCGAGAGAATATGTTTTTTTTGAAATTTTACAGTCATTTAAAAACGATGAAGTAGTTTTTATTTTTAAACGGTGCATTTTTAACGTTATGTCCGGAATAATAATTAGAACAATAGGAAAAACGCATCGTCTTGCCCTCCGAAATATTATCCTCTTTTTTATTTTTATAATAGGTGATTTAACTTTAAAACCAGAGTTCTACGCGGTCTGTGTAAGGAAGATATTGCTATATTGCCCGTTAGTTGGACCGAGACAGCACATGCGGGTACAGCGTCCTCTTAATGGGTGCGTATACACGACGAGAAATCCTCGGAATAAAGATTGTTTACCCACAAGATTACGAAACCGTTTGATTATTCAAATCAAATAGCAGTAAAATAAAATAACAAAATTACGATTTTTACGCTTATCGTCGCGACCCATTAAAATACGATTTCCGTAAAAATAAATGGACCTCCGAAAAAAGTCGATTATATCAGATAAATACTTAGAGTTCTCTGTGCATTCGATATCTGATTGTTGAGAGTATTAATATTCTTTTTCGCGCGAGACGCCCCGTTCAAAAATAATTTAATAGACCTTGAATACTACGATATACTACAGAATACAATATGATACTTATGGTTTTTGGCGACATCCTATAATTATCATTTGTCACTCCCAGGTTTAAAACCACTATAACAAAGCATCGTCGGCTGTCATCTACAGAGGACTACGTGGTACATCCCGTATTCAAAGGGATTGAGTATAAGTAATGTGAATCGTGAAATAAACAAAAATGTTTACGAACGTTGGTTTCGATTTTTCAATATTTCTATTACGAATAATTTATTATAAGAAAAACCGTCAGATTTTTAAACGATAATAATTTTGTTTTTTTCATTTATAATGTCGAAAAAATAACACCAACGCAGCACAGTTCTCCTTTTTTTATAATGGCGACAATTTTTTTTCCAATTACGTTTACAGCCCGATTAGTTTTTACAAACTAGTGTTTAACAAAACATTTTTTAAAATCGAATTACGGACGGTAATACGCCCACTATGTTTTTTTTTTTATTTTTACTTAAAATAGATACTTAAATATGTACATATTTTAAAATCGTGTGTCAATTTTTTCCGTGTAGAATGCGATTTTCTGCGCAAAATGAATACTTTATAACACATATAATACAATTATCCAAACGACAAAATATCATAATAATTTTAATAATTCATAAGACTTGGCGAGAGAACCGCACACAGACATCATTGTATCAATAATAAAATAATATTAAAAAACATTGAAAGTGCGCGCGAACATACGGGTGCTTACGAATATGATAACATTATAAAACGGATACTGCACGGCGTTTACCTCTGCTGTTTTTTGGGGAAATATGTGTGGGCTATACGAGCATAATATTATAAAAACCGTAAAATAACATTATTTATACCATAGGTGTCGAGGATGTGCGGTGTATAATAACATAAATAATATCGCGTATACGTATACGTGTGTTAAAATATTGTAAACGAACGAACATTTTGATACCTATACGCCGCACGCCGATTCGCTGTTAATATGTGTATTATTTTAATTATAGAGATGACTCACCGTCACTGTACATTATATTAAATGTATTATTGCGGTGAAATAAATACATTTTTCGAGCCAACCTTATGTTACAGCTTTACAGGCGATTATAATAATATTGTACGAACACTATCGTCACGTCGAGTTTATTGTTTAAACGGCCTACACTGTATAATATGTGTTATAGTATTATATGGCATTACGTGTTATACTATACGAGTTTAATAAATCGTTTTTAACTTTTATTAACGGAGAAAATAAAACAAGGGGCAAGGGGGGGGGAGGGAGATCCGACACGGCGACGCGCGGAGATTATTCTCGATTTAATTCCGTGCGCGTCCCTCAGAAGAGAGGAATGACAAAAATCTTATCCCCGAAATAAACCGCCGCCGCACAGTGAAATAATTTAAACATTCCGGTAAATTACGAAATCCTGCGCTATTCACACAATTATATAACTGTTAATGTCGTATGATTTATTGTTCGTTTTTTTTTTTTAATAAACTCGATGAAAATTCTTTTTTTTTTATATTCAGTTTTCTATTAGCGTGCACACTATTTGAAACAGAGGTAACTGATCATATTGCTTCAACTTGAAATACAACATAGTATCTACAATTCTCTTATCGCGAACCAGCATTATTGTGTTTATTATGACTGGTTGAAAATTGGAGGGTGGGCGGGTTGACGTTTGGAAATCATCAATTGATATTAATTAAACGCATAAGGGCTACACATTTTAAAATAATGCTTATAACGATTCGACAACGATTGGAGAAAAAAAACAGATATCAAATGTATACATCCGAGTAAATCGGTTACAAAAGAATCGCTCTGTATAAATATAGGTGTATAACATTTGTCGATAAAAAAGTTGAAAACGTACTTATTTATTACACGCCTTGAGGCGTGCGCATGTACAACGATTTATATACGATCTGCAAGTATATACCAACGAAGTGTTTCGAAATCCAAGGTTAAAAAGACCCTCCCACCCGAAAAAACGCAAGTTTGAAAAATACAACGTATATTATTAGCAATACATTCATAATGCGCGTACGACAATATTAAAAGGATCTAGATTTAGTCACGGTCCGGTCCGGAATTGATAAATTGATAAATTTCGCGTCATCGTCGTCCGTCAATTCGAATATAAAAGACATAAGAATCGGCGCGTGGGTAGACTACTATATATATTATATTATATTATAGGTACGTAAAATCGTCGTAATTTCGGACGACTTTTTCGCACCAAGAAGATTATATTGTATTAGGTTTTTTGTATTAAGGTTTTTTTTTTTTTTAAAACTCGTTAAATAATAGCAATTAAAATTGTACGTTAAAAAATATATAATTAAAATGTTCAGCGGGTATTCGAATACCACTAAACGTTTTTAACTTACGTGTACGACCGTTTTAATTATACTTACTTCGATAATAATCGTTTATTTTAAAGTTTTATATGAAAACACGACTACTTAATTATTGTAATATTGCGTATAATATAATAATGTAGTTTAATAATTTATTTCGAATTAAAATTTAGAATAGGTAATTTCGATTACGGTTTTAAATTTAAATTGCATACCTATTCGTATTACGTTTAGCGTTCATATTAACAGATAACTGTGCAATCTCCATCTGTATAGTATTCGTCGTTATAGTAGCATATTAATTAAAATATCTTGTAAAATTGCGTAACTTTCAGAATGATAATATTGTATCGCGCGTGTACATATTTATAGATTCGTTTGTTTATTTATGTATGATACAGAGTGTTTCTTTTATCACGAACCAGTGCAATTATCTATATAGCTATATATACGCGAATGTTGGGTAAATTTGGTTTCAGTCTTGTTCGAGAAAAAAAAAAAAACGATAGAATCGTTTGATGATATTGTATTGGTTACGATATTGTCAACATTTTCCCCTTATTATTTCGTTTACTATAAACGCCCAACAAATGTTGATTTTCGCCAATAGCAACTGGCATTTTAAAACTCAAATACGATTAGTAAATATTTGTCTAAAACCTCGTTCGCCCTAAATATTGAACTGGTATATTTGTAAATCATAATAATGGTACGTCATATAATATTTTGGGCAAATGGTGTTATGCATATCGTAGGCTACCCAGGATAATCGATTTTAACAAATTTTCCAAAACTTGTTAGTAAGAAAATTGCAGGGAAAATCAAAAAATGACCAATGTACCGGCTAAATGAAAAATCCTACGAGAAAGTTACTGGAAAGCAAGATGGAGCAAGATTTCTGGTGGAAAAGTCGTTAAGAGGACGCTCTTGTGCTGTTTCCGTTTTACAACTGCTCGACCTAGCAAATTTTAATTCAGCAGGGATAACTCTGTGCCGTTCGGTTTTTTTTCTCGTGATTTTAATTTTCAAGCGAGACATGAGTGTGAAATATCACTATTTAAAATTGATTATATCTCGCGGATACAAAGTCCTCTTAACAGAAAAAAAGGTTACGGGTTTCTGCTGGGTAGCTGGCGATGCGTTAAAGATTTTTTTAAAGAATATTATCTTTTCGAATCGGAGTTAAAAAAAAAAAAAATAATAATAATAACACGGAAAATATTGTTCGTTTTCCATAGACGTATAATATAGGTAGTTGTATACAATAAAACGATTTAAAATTTCAAGAAAAATTGATAACAGCACAATATGTATATTAGAGCAGCTGCTGTTGATTAGCAAACCTACACCTACAATAATTTATTGTTACTACTGCGAGTCATAATCGGAAAAATACATTCAACTGTATTATTATAAGACTTTGTTTACTGCATGATGTTTGTTTTCTTAAATTGTGGTGATAACGATAGTATGATACGATGCAATGTAAAAATTACAATATACGAGTATATATATAATTTGTATTATATTTAATTACCATTTTGAAATGATAACAAATATAAATAATAGTATACTAGATACCTAACAGTACTGGGTCTTTATAAATTGTATTTTGTATTATACAGTAGATTGCGGCACAAAATTGTTATCATACATTCAAGACGTTATCAGCTTTATCACAGTCAAGGATTTCTGTTCTATGTGATTATTATAAAATATGATTTTTCAATATTTCAACTATAGTCTATAAATTACTATATGATAAACATAATATTACATGTTATCGAATAACCACAACAAAATATACTATTTCAATCGTGGTCACGGTTCTGGGTAGTATTATATCGTGGTTATGAAAATGTGATAATAATTTATAACTATATGAAATTAGCAACGGATAATATACATATATTTTTTTTTATTGTCGAAAGGCTTTTAAACCATTTGGTTTTGGAATAAATCATTCAAAAATGTAGTATGTACTATATGTTCAAATAATTGTCGTACCGAGTATACGATCGACATCTTAAATCTCGTACTTAGGTCAATATTGACTTATTTCTCCACCAGGATCGTTCCACCTGACAATACTGCTTTTCGAGAACCAGGTCTCCGGAACCGGCGATCAAGATTGAAAAATACGTTAGATCTATTAGATTCTAAGTAGCCATTTTTAGTTTTTTGATATGTAATTGTTTTGTTTTACTTTTAATAAACTTAATTACATCAGTGCAATGGCCTTTATTTTTATTTATGTTTGTCAAGATAAATATAATATATATTATATGATAACATAATTTACGATGAAAAAAAAAATTGAAACTTTTTGTGAAATTTAACTATTATAAGTAAACGTCAATAGGTATTCCAATATGCTTATTTTTACTATACATATTTTGTAAAACGGTCAAACTTAATTTTATGAATTTGAGAACAGTTGATTGAGATTGCCTAATAAAGTTTAAATTACAAGTACCATAATTAATTTTCGTTATTTACATTGAAAATGGTAATTAAATAAAATACAAATTATACATACATATATTGTATTTTTAAAGCGCATATACTGTCTAATCATCATATTATCGTTAACACCACGATACAAGAAAACAAATATCGTGCAGTAAACAAAGCGTTTTGGCGATATTGCAACCAAGTAGCAAACAACAGTAGCTAGTTTACCGAAAAATACATTGCCGAAACACGGCAATATTTTTTTCTATTAGTTAGTAAAAAAGGAAAGGACTTGGGAGTTCAAAAATACGAAGTAGACATGGAATTAAAAAGATTAGGAAATATAACACAACGGTTTTTTTCGTTATTTAAAATAAAATAAAATACATTTATTGTTTGGACATTTGCAGTGCATATTTAATAGTGCATTATTAGATCGACCGTCATTGTAATGACAATCGCTGCCAAAAAGATGGACGCCGATTGATTGGATGGTTTTTGTTTTAATCTATGAGTCATTTAACGTGTCTGTATAGTGAAACAACGCATATTATTTATAATTATATTTTCGTTTGGCTTTTCACGGTCAAAAGTTTCAAGTAAAATAGATCTATTGCACAATAACATCACAAACATCAGTTGCTGCAGGTGACGTTTTATTTTCTCTTTCTTCGGTCAAGTTAACCTTCGCATGGTTTTTGAAGAAGATTTATGACGTTTCGAACAGTATTGTGCAATTCTTTGGTGCCTAAATGCAATTAGTTTCGAATTAACGTCGGTATACTCATATATACCACCATCGTTTTATCTTCGAAGTTATCCGCAATCTGCTCGTTTTCGTGGTGTTAGCGATGTTGGTGGTCGTTTACGACGACTACTAAATCCCACAGTAACCGCGCGTGATGTACGCATTTTTTTACATTCATATCACATCGGAAATTATATAAAAAAATATATATACATAATATGTGCTATTAACTATAACATCACGTCGGTAGGTTTTCTTAGTCACTTATCCGGATATAGGGTAATAATTTACTATAATATATACGAGTAGGTATATTTATTATTATGTTCTAAAAGCCCGTAACGAATTTCACCTTGATACCGTCTTCAGCGTGCGCATTATTAGACTTTTTGGCGGTCTCTGATATAAATTGGACGCCTATCGATTCGTTTCGGAGAATTTTTTTTCTACTTTTCTTGGCATTTTTTCAATAACACATTATAGAGCACCGATGGTTATACTGACTTCCGCGGTGGGTTATTTAACCAACAAACTGCAGACTAATGAATTTCACGCGTTTAATCAACAATAACGACGTAATTAATAATATAGTAAAGTATAGGGTTTTAAAAAAAATAATAATAATAAAAAATAATAATGATTATAATCAAAAAAATTAAAAATTAAAACAATGGAATAAATCAGGACGTTCGTTAGTCATGTGAATTTTTTTTCTCAAGTAGGTACAATAATATATTATACATCCTTACCAACCATACGCGATGTATTTTTCAAACTCGTTAAAGATGCTAATACTTCAAACGATAATAACTGTCAACGTTTTTTTAGTGAGAACGTTTTTGTTTAATATAGGTAGTACTATGTATATGTTTGAATAATGACGAACATCTATTAAATAAATAGTCACGGACATTGAAACGGTTTTTTTTTTGAAAGCTAATGTAAATATTTAATATTTATTTATGTGAAAATCAATCAGTTAATTGCGTGCTATAATATGATTACAAACTTGAAAATACGGCGTCACTAACAAATCAATACAATTTTTTACTGATATACAATTTCAGGACTTGTACAACAGTGACACTTGTATATTATGATAAATCCGTGGTTCTGACTGTGAGTATAATAATATGCAATGCGCAATAATAGGCCGTGTCGGTGAAAAAATTTTGGGGAGAACGAATAGGTCCGGATCTCTTTACCCAGGTACAATATCATTTACAGTAACATTTTTTCTAAAAAGTAATTTGACTTGTGTGATTCTTTAAGGAGGTTACTTTTTGATTTTTCTATCTGTTTTCATAATAAATGGGAAAAACCAGGAAAAACCTTAAGAAAAACGCGAAAATTTACCAAATATATTATTTTCAAATCGAAAATATTACGGCTTTTCAAAATATGTATAAACGAACTCCGCTCAGAACCGTTTTATGTTAGCAAAGCAAAAATTAATTATCGCGTACAGAAATACATTAAATTACCCTTCTATATCCTGCCTTCCCAAATTCTCATCTACAACAGTGGCCCACCCATCATCGTACGAATTACGTCCGTATCTTTTTTTTTTTATCATGAACCAGCAATTTTCTCGCAGGATTTTAAGTGAATTTGATTTATGTTTTTTTTTTTTAATCATTCTGGAATAATAACTATTCCATAGGTACTCCATGTACCTTAAATAATTATTTACTTTTTTATTTCAAATAGAAACCCCCCTTTTAGAGAATATTCTCGATTCGAATATGTATTCAAAAAGAGGGGGTTCCTATTTGAAAAACAAAATTATATACTTATTTAAGGTGTAGGTACAGAGTAGGTGTGACAAATTGTAAACAGTTTTAAAATAAAAACTAAACGATTCCGCAATGATTAAAAAATACCGACATCGAATTCACTTAAAATCCTTCGAGAAAATTGCTGGTTTATAATTTAAAAAACAAAAAAACCATTCTGTAAATTTGAACACGGATCGAAACACGGCGTTTTCGCCGACCAGTTTAGTTCTTTCTATGGAGCACACCTATACATACACATATATATATGTATACATTTACGATTAAAAATTTCAAAATAATTCAATCGGTAGTGTAATCATATATACGGTGAATAATATCGCTAGGCACCTATTATTATTTTAAGCACGTCATCCGAGACTGTGTCAACGTGTACTAGCGGCGGCGCATACCTATTACTACTATGTATGGGGCACATCGCAATTCAATATTCCGGCTAAAGAAACATAACGGATTCGAATACAGTTTATTTTTTTTTGTATTTCGTTTCGCCTTTCCTGTTTTCCTTTTGTAGAAAATGTATATTATTAAATTATTATAATTTTAATACAATAAATAATAGAATTTGCATACTTTGAATACAAAGTTTGTCCCTATACGACAAATGAATATAATAGTGCTGCAGAGTAATACTATATAGTTATTTTTTACACGCAGAATTCATTGAACTGCAATATTTTCTACCGTCGAATACAATATATTATATTAATGATAAAACGATTTACACGAACGGATGTCCTGTTGTAATACTAGAAACACTATATTATGCGAGAAATATTATCGTACAATTTATTATCGGATTTTAATATAATATATTATTCGTATATTATATATAACAGGTCATTATATTACAAATGCTAAAAATGAACACACTTCGATGCATATAATACACTAGTATTTTGTTCCAAATAGTTTCCAAAATATTGGTGAAGGTTTCAAGTCGATTGGATAAGGAGGTGGAGGGCAACTTCACGCACGTGTATAAGAAATGTAAAATGCATATAATATACATAAATAATAACATAATATATTAGGTTACCTATAAAAAAAATCTTATGAGTTAACTGTATCCAATAAAACAACAAAATCGATAAAAATAATTACACAAATACTGTGTAACTAAATTTATAAATTAACAGTCAAATATGAGAAACATATTAAGATTTTCTAGAAAATAGTTATTGGCTTTATTTGTTACTAACAATAAGTATCTATACCTGTGTTATTATCTTCGTATAGGTAACCCATACCTACTTCTATAGGCTATCAGAAACCTAATATAAAATGAATTATACGCAAATACAAACTGAAAACTAATATTTTAACTGCAGATTTGAGGTTTGTTAATTTTATATAGGTGTATTATAGTAATATTGGAAATGTATAATTCGTAAGATAAGTTAATTTTGATACATACCTACAATATTATTGTTTTATACCGTGTAATGTATATAAAAAATAAAAATTATTATACCAGAATGGTATAATAATAAAACGTATTATACCTGTAGGTCTGTTATTTAATCGTATTTGGGAAATATTTGAAAATACTAGACCACTAATCACGACGTGGGTATAGGTACTGTTAACCGCAAAACAATCCGTGCAAATCGAGAGATTAGATTGTCGAATTTCATTATTCCGCTCTAGACATTGCAATAATAATAATGTATAAGTTCAATATGTCTGTTTAGTGTAGTTTGGAATAAGAATTTTAGTATAATTTATCGAAATTTCGATTTACGTTTTGCTATTATACTGTAGTGGAGTATAACAATTAATAAATAATAAACCGTATATCTTGTAATAAAAATATTTAGTAAAGCCGAATCCCCTCCCCCCCAAAAAAGTTCATACAAATAATAGATATTAAAAAAGGTGAAGGAGAGGGAGATATATTTATCAAATATCCCCGTTTCAATACCGGCTGTGGTCAACACACGAAATGCAAATAATGTAATGAAAATAAAGCGTACGTATAAAACTATACTTATAAAAAAAAAAAAAGCTGTTCTAGGAGACGGGTGCAGCCACTGTTATAGCTGGTAATTTAATGTACATCTGTAAGCAACGATTAACCATTGCTAACCAAACAAGGTTTTGAACGCAATTCGGTTGAAAATATTACTTTGCCAACAATATGCATGTTATATTATAGTAAAATAATTACATATTCATTGTATATCTTTTTAGTAATATTTGTTTAATATTGAACTTATTTTCCCATTTTCCCATCGGTTTTTCCTGGTTTTTGCCATTTTTTCAGAAAACTCCTAAGAAAATCGAAAAATGAGCTCCCTAAAATACCCTCCCAGTCAGATTTCTTTTCAGAAAAAGTGATATAATTGTAAATTGAGCAAAACTACTGGTAGAAAAGTTGTCCACAAAAAAAAAAAAGGACGGGCATACTTCGCACGCGGGTGTAGTCACTGTTGTAGGTGGAAAGTTGGGAAGGTAGGAAACAGACGGGAGTTTAATGTATATCTGTAAGCAGCGATAAACCATTGCTAATGAAAAAAACGATTCTGAGCCGAGTTCAGTTGATAATGTTACTTTGTCAACAATACAATATATGGTATTATGTTATATTATGGTAAAATAATTAAAACAATGTGCGTTTCTATGACAACAATAATTGTTTAAAAAAGATTAAAATAATAAAAACTTAATTATAAAAAAAAATTAAAAAAAATGGTTGCCAATGACAACTTTATTTTTAATTTTTTAATCTTTTTTAACCTAAAGACCGAGGTTTTTCTCATTATCTCGAATATTAATGAGAATTTCGAAAAATGACCTCTTTAAAGTATCACCCAGAAAACATTTTCTTTCAGAAAAGATGTTATATTTGATAATCGAAGTATGCTTTCTGGTGGAAAAAGTGATCCATAAAAAAAAAATGAACTTCATTGTAAAGCTAATACATTCCTCGCTTCACTCAGAATCCAAAATAAACCTATCGACGTGAAATCTATCGTTTTTCCGCGGGGGAAAGGACTTTTTCGGTATCGACCCAACGAATTTTAACGTATTTTCAATAAAAACCGCGCGCGCCTATAATATTATCTTCTATCCCGCGATATATATATAAAAAAAAAGTCCTCTTCACGTATATTTTATTATCGCGACACAAAACGTCGCTAGTGCAGCGGCCAAGAACGGCTGTTGGCATACTCGCGTCACGTCGTTTTATAAATTACGAACTTTCGAGACCGTTTTGGTTTTTTTGTGAAATCGTCGTCGCCATCGACAATCATAATAATAATATATTATATAGGTACTCGTATATGTTATAACGTGGCGTCCTTAAAGCCCGCAGCAGGCCGCGCGTCTACTTTAAACTGTCAGATAAATCGTTTCCGACGTGACAACGCGACGGCGCACACTCACCGCGTCTCTAAGGATGAAATAATATTACAGAATTATTATCGTATAATCGAGTCCTTAGGTACTTATTTATATTATATACGAGTGTACAGGTCGTAACACGAACATCCGACCACATCTGAAATAACTTTTGTTCAGTTCGATATTTTTAAGTTTTTTTTTTTTTCTTGTCATAATTACCGCAGAGCATTGCGTTACGATTCCTCTGTTTTATACATATTTTTTTTTCAAGAATAAAAATAAAAATTGTTTTTACAAAATCCAAGGTAGTCGTCGTATAAATGCGATAATATATTTTGAAACAAAACTTTACCGTTGAAAACACTCACAAACGATTAACCGTTGATTTCCAGCGGTTTTTCGAAGTTTACGACGCAATTTAAATTTCAGTTTTTCTTGCCATCACTGTATAATATAACATTGATCGGATCGTCAATAAATTTGTCCGCGACAAATATAATTTTGTTAACGATTTTTGGTCTTTAGAAAAATCGCAGAAAATTAACAAGATTCATGATTAATCAATCGTAAATATTTGTAACGCCAACATTTCGTTTAGAAAAATATATTTATAAGCCGGCCATCTTGGATTTTGTAAAACGATTTTTGAACATATTCAAATGTTTTATTTTAAGTTCAAACAAAAAAAAAAAATAAAAAAAAATACATATAAACTGGACGAATCGCGTAGTGCTAGAAATTATTTGTAGAAAAACAAAACTTCAAAAATATTGGACCGAACAAAAGTTCTTTCAGATGTCGGATCTTCGTGTTACACCCTGTATATATATATTTGTGTTACATAAATTATTGCGCTCGGTACCGGTACACAATGTGAATGTGAACGATGACGAGAGTCTATAAATCGAGACCGTAATCTCGGTTTATTTAATACTGAAAATGTCCCGGGATCGTAAACCGTAAAGTATAATATTATTATAATACAGTAATACAATATGCAAGTAACAGTATTGCTCTTTTGTTCTCGGTGAAAGGGGCGAAAAAGATTATCGTGTCTCGGCAGCCGGTTTCGTTCTCTCCGTGCGTTATCTGCAGCTGCAGCACGTAAGTGTTTTCGCGTATAATAATATTAACAAGTCGTTGTGTTTATTTTGTTAGGAAAACGAAAAAAAAAAAGTTGACACAAAGCGCCGGCGTAACACGACACGCGTAATATGCTTGACCGTTATCTCCCGATGTTCGCGCCCTCCTTATCGAATTCGCTCACTCGAAAAAAAAAAATAAAACAAATAACTATAATAGGTTTAGTTGCATCTAATAGGTAAGGGTAGGGACGGAAATTTGATGTCCTGTGAAAAACCCTACAAAAATAATGCTTTTATACTCCCTAAAATACTTTAAACAAACGCACTCAAATTTGTTTAAATGTTTAATAATTTTGGAATAAACTATAACTATTGATATTTGTGTATAGATTCAATAAAAAATAATTTTACACACGCTATTGGACACCTTCCACTTAGGCTACATTTGGTCTGAACAAATCGTACTGAACGATATCGTCGGATGTCGGTATTGATTTTATCGCTCCAACAGATTATTAAACGGGAAATCTAGTGATTCACTATAATATGCCATGTTAGTTTTACCATGTATCTATTTTTTAGATGTATAATATGAATCGTGTAAATGTTTAAAAATCTTATTATAAATTTTCAAATTCGAATCTCATGTCCTATAACTTAAAAAAGTACCCCCCTCTCCAAATTTTTGAAAGGTTCTTACATCTTAAGGTATGATTAAAGAATAAATTCAGTGTCGACAAGGCCGTCCCTATAAGGCAGGGCAACCAGAGCACCGCGCTTTCGTCACGGTTGGATGGGCTCCGCATTTTTATATAAAAATTCAATAAAAAAAAGAAAGTCATGGTTGTTGAAAAACAGTTTATTAAATAAATTTGTTCGCCGTTAAACTGCACGTTGAATATATTCTGCAGGCATGCATTACGTGACGTGCACTTTTAGGTCCTGCAAATCGTCAGGGCGGCTCTGGGTTCCGAAGTATTTTTCAGAACACACATTACATGTGTATTATAGTTTTAAATTCGGAACGTAGCGAGAAATATATTGATTTTACAATGATGTTTGTTTTATTTTTTATCTGTAAACAATTTTTCTACCAGAATCGTGTTACGATTTTCAAGTGTAGTACTTTTTTTGAAAGGAATTTTTGTCCGGGTGGTACTTTAAATAGAATGTAGTTTTTTGATTTTTCATGCGGTTTTCACAACAATTGGGAAAAACCGGAAAAAACCTAGGAAAATCGGGAAAATTTACGTAAATGTATAAAAGAAATTTCGCTTCCGCTAAGAACCTTTCAGGGGACACACTTTGGTTTTCAAGGGGCACATTATTTTTTGCCCTGAATCGGTTTTATGGTTGCTGAGCCATGAAAAATACTTATAAATTATTATTTTGTATCCAGCCCGAACTACTGCACGTTGAGTCTACTTTTTCTATTGGTCAGATCGAGGATTTTAATAGTTTTACACTTTCTCTAGACAATTTGGACGTTTTGCAAAAAACCTCGCGTAAATATTGTTCCAGTAATTTCGGAAATTACCCGAGATACCATTTCACATTTATATACTCACAAATAGGTATTTATTATACGAACATTCAACGAGTCCAATATTATAGTGTAATAGACTTTTAAACTTTATACGGAAAATATTTTTATTTTTTTTTATTTGTCCAACAATAACACGTTTTGTAATAAAGACTGCGATAAATTCATTTTCGTATACTACACCGTCGAAGCGAGCGCTCGAAATTAAAAACGTTCTCGCGACGTCGAATGTAAACAAAACATAAATAATAATGTCGTTCGTACTTTAGAAAAAAAAAAAATTTAAAAAAATGCGTACATTTGTCGAACATTGAAAACGTTTGCAAGGTTAACTGTGTACATTTATTATATCTAATAGATAAGCCGAGTTTTTAATACAAACTGTTCGATTGCAATTAATATGTACTTTAATTTAACAATAATTTATTGTTGTTTTCACCGCGAGAGCGTATTTATTAGGATTACGATATTATTACCGGCGGATTTAGATTCGCTATAGCCGCGATAACGCTTAAACTTTAAAAATCAATACCGCGCTAATAATAATTAGTATGATGTTTTCGTAATGTTTTATTGAAATTGTTGCACATCACATATTAATATTGTTGATATCGCAACGGTATTATAAGTATACGTTTATATTTTTAAAACGTTTCGTTTGTCGAGCGCAAAAAAACCGACACGTCAGACATATTGATTTATTAATAAATCACCGCTGCAACAGCAGATGCAGATAAGTTAAAATACGTTTCGACGGAGAGAAACATTCCGTTTTAGTTTCGTCTCCCCCATTTATTTATTATTATTTTTTTTCAAATTGAAATTATTTCATTTTTATTTTTAAAACCGAATGGACGACATCGACCCGTAATAAGGCGCGTATGGGCATTTTAATAAACAACAATAATCTCCATCGGTTATCGAGACCAGTGTAGCGTGCCCGGGAATTTTCAATGGGATGTGATGCAGCAAATAAGAAACGTAAAATCGTCTTCTCTATTCAAATCGACTATACGTATATAAATCGAGAATTGGTCATTTAAAAGCCGGATCCTAAAAATAACCAATTTCTAATCAACACATCAAGCTTTTCCACATAATTTGGCTGTTATGTATTATGCATTTCGTATTAGATTAGTAGGTACTTATATTTTTTGTATTTTTAAGCCAACGGGAGGGGGGATATAACTTCTAATCTACCTTCTCCCCTGTGCACGCCACTAATCGTGATTGGTGAAATCGTAGAATCGTCTTATTTGTTACGTACACCAGCTGACGCGACAACGATAATTTAAAAGCTGGATCCAAAAAAAGCCAATTTGTATTCAATAAATCGAGACGTTATCCGTGTAAAAATCTGGCTAAAATATAAAATTTCAATCGAATTACCAAATAAGTACCGCCGACACCCACTACCCAGCGCACCGCTGATGTGCGACACACCGACGTTGTCTATCGCTGCAGTAAAACGTAGTATGTGTTAGGACATTAATTATATTAACCGTTCGGAAAGTAAGTGTTTTTTGATTAAAACGTTAGAATAATATCTGATTGTTATTAATAACGCATAACACAGCCTGTGTAGTTGAATTATTAAAATTAGGGCGTTGATAGATACGGCTCGAGTAAATTGCTTTTCGACAAAAAAAAAAAAAAAAGAGACTTACAATATGCAATTTGTTATTCACCTGGAACGTTGAGAAAAAAATGTTTATCGTACCGGCACAGTAAAGTTATGATACAATACTGTTAACTTGTAACATTAATGCTTATAATTTTATTTTATAGCGCATTAATATTAAATTAGCCCGATAAATTATCCACTTTTGCAATAAATTAGTAGCAAACCTAATATTTCCATAAAACCCGTTTGCAGATTTAATTTATTCGTATACCGGTTCATTCGCAAGTGAAACTTTAATACCGAATGCAATATTTAACTTGGACTTTATGCAATGTTTACCAACTGTATGATTTAATGCGAATAACGAGCACGTTTAAAATATTAGCTTACTTATATAGTATTATAATGTAGACCATTAATACTAAGCACTAATACAACTATACAGGTCGTTATTATATTTTAGTATTCGTGTGGTTATCCTCAACTTTGCGTCCTAAAAAACATTTTAAGGGTATGAAGTACGTAACCTTTATACAAGCGACTCTTTTTATTTTTTTTATTTTTTTTTTTTTTACTGTCGAAGGAAAACGCGGATTCCGCGTCGTACCGGCGAACGTTATTAAAAATAGGTGCCAGACTTAACGGTCTCGAGGGAAATAATTCAAGATTTCGAACAATAATTTGCGGTCGGTAGCCAAACGTAATAACAGTGTGTTACACAAAATATTACGTGAAAACAATACGATTTTGTAATACGTTACATGTTATGCGCATGATACAGTTAATGACAGGATATTTGCTTGATGCTTCAAAATATGATATCTGTTGTTTTTTTTCTCTCGTAATTTTAATTTTTAAGCGAGACATTGGGAAGCGTTGGTTTTCAATCGTGGCGTTTCACCGCGCGCTCGCGTCTCCTTTAAAAATAAAACCGCCGACACGACACAGTTAACGTTCTCGTCTTTAATTCTGATAGTAGATTTTCGATTCGGTCCAATATGAAAGCTAACGTAAAGTATTGTCACTGCTAAACGAATTTTGGCCGTGTCGCGCTAGATGGAGACATGGCACACGCGGATATACCGTCCTCTGGACCAACGGGTCCTCGACCTACGTACGTCCTACGAATCTCCGCGTACCATGTACACATTTCGAAAATTTCCCACGTACCACTTGCCGCGATTATTAGGCTTTTTTTCTTTTTACTAATCGAATGAAAAATGTGTAGGCACGTCATTTACGCGTATCCATATGAAATTTTGTTATCAAATCTACATAATTATCGGCACATAATATATAAAAAGTAGAGTTATTATTTTTATTATTATTTAGCGGATATTCCGTGGCCATTAGAACTAATAACTTTTTGTTTTTTCCGCTTGTCAACAAATTTCTTCGCGCACCTACCGACAGCTATACGAACTTTCCTGCCATTAGCGATGCGCCTACCGCAGGTTGAGAATCGCTGCTTTGAGAATAGGCACACATTAAGTGCACACAACTAACATGATAATAATATAACGTGACAAAATATTGAACTATTTTCACGTATCAGCTTTTGGCTCTCGACCACAGATTATTTTGCGTTGTCCGTCCGCGGTGTTTTATTTCCCCTCTATCGGGTTTCGTTCGTAGAAACGAACGGTATTGGTTTTATCACGCGACGTATAAAGCGCTTATCAGTTGTTTTAATAATAATAATAATAATAATAATAATAATTAAAAAAAAAACAACAACCGTAAACAATAAGAATAATAACAAAAACTACGAATAATACGAGGCCACAACGTGAAACGACGTACGTCCCATGAAAACCAAGTCGTATAACCAATGGGCGCTTCGGCGTTTCTGTACATAAATTGCCTATCACGACGTGCCAATGGATTTTTATCGTTTGTTTGATGCCGATCGAAAATCCCAAACGGTTATGAAATTTCCAATTTCCTATAAATATTATGTCTTTTGGAATGTTCAGCTTAATCGTATTATCCGATTTTTATAGAATATTTAATATTGTCAGTACCGTAAACCGTTGACCTTTTCGGCTATCACCAGACCTTTAACGCACCGGCTATAATACACTACGGGTATTTCTATTTTTACGCGGTTTCAAAACTCCGGTATTGATAATCCGTCACGCGACAATAAACTTTGATAAATCTCCGCGAAATCTCGAAAATTCGACGTCGAGAAACCGATGGTATATTATGTTTTGTACTATCTTATAATGCTAGAAATAACGGCAATAATTATTATTGCCTAATAAACATCATTTTTTTCGCGCACAGCTACCAATTATGACTGTTGACGTGACGTGCGGACAACCGTATAATTTGCATACAGGTAAATTAACGCAATTATGGGTTTTTGTCGGGAAAAAAATAATTATTATTTTTTTTTTTCGATACGTACTCGACAATAGCCGCAGCTGTTCAGCTGTTGGTCGTCTCCGCGCGTTAATAACTGGTATATTTTAGTGATAATTACCCGTCGCCAAAGTTTGTAAACACGTCGTCGTATTATCAATGCAGATAAAGAAAAAAAAAAACCAATGATATCCGTTTGCCAGCCCAATAACGTTTTAATATCGTATAACATTATACAACGTTGTCACGTCGGCGTGTTTTTGTACCTGCGCGATGTTCTACGCCGTTTCGTAATAAATTTAATAATAATTACCGTCGCGGAGTACGGTGTACATTTTTTCGGAGAACAAAGAAAAAACAAATTCGCATTCGAATATTATAACATACAGAGCGATTTTTCTTCTTTTTTTTTTTTTTTTTCTGAATCCGCGATATTATCTTTGCATTATGGAGATTTCGAGCAAATACGATTTTTACGAGGGGTTTTAGTTGTTTTTCGACGTTTCAGAATCGTTTGTTATAACGGTCTGATAAATATAAACAAACAAAAAAAAAAAACGTTATCCTTAATCCATTAGCGCGAAAGCGAAAACAATAATACAATATTATTTTTTCAAAAAAAAAAATGTCTGTAACATTATGCGTAACGTAGTCGATATCGGGTATACGGCTTGGATTTTTAGACTTTAGAGTGAAATTTCGAAAAAAAAAAAAAAACAATAAAAATAATAATAAAAAATATCAATAACAATAACGACAAAACGATTCTGTGCAATAGGGGAGGGGGAGGGGGGTGGAAAACGCAAATTTAATTTACTCGAAACGCGTTGTATATTCGTATACGACACCATATAAAAGGGGCGGGTTTGCGATAAACTAATCACTGATTTAGTTTTATCGCGATTGGTAATCACCCTGTATATTATAACTATATAGATTGGGTACATAATATACTAACCAGCCGAGTGCCGTGGCGGTTATGATAACATGCCGTAAAGACATAAACAAACGCACATACACACGCGTGCATACGTACGACATTAAATCTCGTATCACGCGAGACTTGGGCGGTTGTTGTTACTTTTGTTGGTTAATGGTCGTTTGACTTTTTCCTTTTCTCATTCTCTCTTATTTTTTTTTTTTTTTTTTTTTTATCCCGAAAGACACTGGTTTATAGCGTCTGCGCGTTATTTATGTTCGACCGTACACAGTATACAAAATAAAGAGGGTCAAAAAACTATTTTTATAATATATTGTACAATCTGCGCTATAATACCGGCGTATAATGTAAATGCCCTCTGATGTACATTAACCAGGACGAATAGGTTTTTTTTTTTTTATAAAAATGTCTTTTGTTCTCGGTTTACCGGTTGAAAAATCCACATCATTCTTCTTCTTCTTTTTGAATGTAAATAAATTAGGTAGACGCGTAATTAATCGCATTTTCGAAAATATTTTAACATAATATTTTCGTTTCTGAATAGTATCGTTTTAATCCGTTCGGATACTTATGCATATACAATCAGTGGCGCTCACACCCCCTTACCGAGCTGTGCAATCCCACGGGTTCTCAGCAGGGATGGTGGATATTGGGTCGGAATTGTCAGCTGCCATGTACATATTCCAAATTATAGCCTCAATTCGTATTTGAACAATCCAATTTGTCTGTTTGTTAGTTATTTGTGAACCTGTTATTATGTGAGTGGTGAGTGATCATTATTATTTACTGCACGAGTTAGCAGGAAATGTTCGGACGCCACTGCATATAATAATATTATGGACAGTCCGTTTTAAATTGATAGTTTTCAAATTTGATATACGTACGTAAATTATTTTATCAGTATCAAGTTGAAATATATTTGAACAAGGCTGGGCATTAACGAATTAGTAAGTTAAAGTTATGTTAATTTAACTTTTTAACTTAATAAATTGATTTTTTTGAACTATCAACTTAATTAATAACTCGAGGAATACAAAAAAATTAATTTTTAACTTTTAAATAGTGTTAATCTTATAAACAAATTAAGTTGATTTCAATTTTTACTTGTATGCTCATATAAATAAATATATTGTTATTATCGACACATTACGAACATTTTAAAACACGAATTGTTATGATTGCCTGTTATTTTTTTACTGTTGTCGTCGGTTAGGGGCCTAATGGCCTAATAATCTATATCTACAATATAGATTACTAGGCCATTATAATAGGTAATAGAAAATATGTACTTTTTTTTTTTTAACTAACTTAACTTAAAGTTAATTTTAACTATAGGTTAACTTCTAACTTAATTGAATTGAATTATATAATTATTAACTTTATTTAAATTTAAATTTAACTTAAATTTACCGAGTTGAAGAAAATCATTAATCTGCTCAGCATTGAATTTTAATAATTTCGAGAGAACGAAATATTATAAATATATTATTGTAAATTCATACTTGTATTGAGTACGCGAAAATATTTTCTTTTTTTTCTTTTTAACGATAGATAAGCGAATTGACTTTTGACTTTTTCGGTTGGTTGAAAATGGTTTCATCGTCGATTCGGTCGGTACGGTAATGACGGAATATAATAATGTCTACTAACGGTCGAGTTCAACGGTTAAAAATGTGAAAATATTTTTAATTGGATCAAATTATCTCAATGCGTTTTTAAAATTAGGTACTAATTTCAAAGATATGTGTAAAATTAGAATTGCATATATTTAAGGCTAACTAAGTATAATAACGAATTAATAAAAAAAAAATATGTTAACAACAATAAATGCCGAGTTTTTATTCGTCTGTTATACGGATATTTTAATATTGTATCCATACCGAAACCACTGATGTAATACTTCACGAACTCGGCTTATATAAATTATAGGAGGGCGTCGCAATAGCATTTATCGTCTCTTGTCTAACCAACGAGCAATATAGTAAAATTTCGTTTTCGTCCCTACAATAGTGTTCAGGATCGAATCTAATAGACCTAAAACAATAATTATTTCATCAAATTAAAGACGAAAACGTAAAGTATACCATGCTTTCACCGTAGAGATTTTTCGATACATTCATAATACAATAATTGTCTGTATTATTAATATTTTTTTCTTCTCAAGTTAGAAGTGCGAATAAATTATCTGGTAAACAGATATCAACAAATTCCCCCGAGAAAGACTAACACAGTAAATGGTGTTTTTTTTTTTTTTAGTTTGATGAAATATTTTTTATTTTAGGTCTGTTAGATCCTGTAACTATCCTATTGTACTGTCGGAAGTACCGAAAACGCATTTTCGGCGTATTGCACGTCAGATGAGACGGAAAATGTTACTGTGACTCGACTCTTATAAGGGGATTTGAAAGTGGTAATATTCCGTTTTTGTCGAACACACACGCGACATTGGAATTATTATCGCGTATTTTAATTTCAACGTATCGATTGATCCAGCGAAGGGATACGAATTCCGGAAACGGATTCGAACCCATCGTCAAGTTTACTTGAGATCGACTTTTCCGTATAAACGATTTTATCCCTTCTAAATCTTAAACGATTCGTACTAAAAAGTATGACTAACGAGTCGAGACATAAAGTATGAGTAATTACAAAAAAAAAAAAATATTCCAAATATCGAAAAAATTGAAATCAAAGTCGATCTCGAGTTGACTCGGCAACAAATTCAAATCCGTTTTTGGAATTCTTATCGGTTCACAAGATCAATCGGTACGTCGTCGGAACCAAAACAAATTCTTCGCGCGTATGTTGGACCAAGACGGAATTTCACCTCTTCCATTCCTCTTTCAATCGTGTTGTAATATTCAAAACCGGTCGCATAATAATACCACCGTAATAATATTGTCGTGAATTACGGTTTTCTGCTTTCACTCGACAAACACATACGCTGAAATTGTCCATAATTTTAGAAGGGGGGGGGAGGCCGATATTTTAAAGTACTTTAGTATTGCACATCAAAACCGCTTTGCAAAAATCATCTTACCTAAAACACCATGAAAAATCCGAAAGCGATTTATTTTAGACATTCTAAATCTGCTATACCTATATATAGTGATGTCGATTTTCACGAAAATGTTTTTTTTTTTTTGAGAACACATTCAAAAGGTTTAAAATGTTTTGAAAAATCGTTTTCAATTAATTCCGTCGACATATAGTTAAAGCATGTTAAACCCACACATAATTATATTTAAAATTGTATACAAGCATATTACCATTTATCTCCGCATTAATATTATTTTATGCTGCTTGAACATAGGAAATACTAATCAATTTGCCTCAGTAATACATGTATGCATTTTTACCTTAGGTTTAAACATTTAAAACATTTAAATGTTCACTAAATGAATGTGTAAACTTTTTCTAAATTTCGTTGACTTTACCATTGTTGTAATTGTATTTATTTTTTGATTTATTTCCACGATTTTACCCGAACTATTTTTTTGAATGCCTATAGTTATTAAAAATTACATTGTACTCAATTTTAAATAAATACAATTACACACATTACACAATATGCGTCAGTCATCAATTATTATGTTGTATGAACGTATGATGAAATGTATAAAAATATTATTATGGTGTACCTAAACCATTGAATTTTTAATAATTTATTATTTTAGCATATAACTACAACTGTGGTGCAGTAATACAAATATCAACAATTAACTATGCCAAGAAAAATGAATAAAAAATACCAAAGAAAATTGAAAATTGAAATGAAAATCTTCGAGCCATAGCTATATGCATCTATAACTATACAATACATATATATGAGTAGGTATATGTAAAATTTACCTGTTATATTCAAATTTTTGAACTATTACTTTAAAAATTCAAACGTAGATGAAAACCTGATTAATCACCAAAATAATTTAAGCGACATCAGTTAATTCAATTTTCAAAACGAGATTTAAATTTAAAATTTGTATTTGATTATGTTACAAGAGTGTTATGAAAATATACAAAAATAGAAATATTTCTCAACACCAACAATCTAGTCGCAATGTATTACAAATGAAAAATTTAAAAAATACGTAGATAAACTTTTTTTTTTTTGTACAATTTTACTATTTTTCTTCGCGCATCGACAGTATTTTGATTGAAAATCACTATGCATACATAATTATACAATTATACCTATACGTTTATTTCTAATAGTACAGTGACCGCAGACCGCTTTACACCTTATAGTATGTCTGAGGGGAGCTGCAATTTATTTCATCTGTATGCGCGTTTCGAAGGGGCTCGGCCCCCTTTCCGATTTCCGCTTGCGACACGGAAAAAATAAAAATAATACGAATATTATCACGTGCGCGTCACTGATAATAATCATCTTTTACGGTATAGTCGCGCGACGAGAGAGCTATTTTATTAGGCATATCACACGATCTAAAAATATTTGCCGCGCGCGTCCCTTCTTCCTCTTTGTATCACTCCGTACGACTGCTTACTCTCGCATCACCCAGCGAAACATTTCAATTCCGGCGCGCTGGAATAATAATAAACTAAATTAATTGCTAACACGTTTTTTTTTTTTTTTTTTTGTTTCTTTCCGAAACACGCGCGCCCGTTCAATTTATATTAATATAATTCACAAGTTCGTCTGTATTATAATTGACGGCGTCCGTTTTTGTGCGTATACAATAATATAATATTATCGAGCCGAAAGAGAGAGAGAGAGAGAGTGAGAGAAAGATAGAAGAGATCTGAAAATATGACACGATCATTTTCACCTTTGTGATGATATCCGGCCGTGGTCACCGGCCAGGGCCGGATTAAGCCCAATCATAGCCCTATAGGAATATATTTGTTAATAGCCCATTACAAAGTATTATCTAAATAGTAGGTATAATTATGCCTACTAAATTACTATTAAATAGCCCTTGCCATTGCCTGACTTTAGGCACGTGCCTACCTCGTCTATACGTTAATCCGGGCCTGTCACCAGCCCTCCCCAGCCATCATGTCGGAATTTATAAAACGTCGTCACTTAACACTATTGATTGTCTTTCGTGCAGACACATATATACACAGTATTTGTTGTTTAGACTTTGGTCGACTATTGTAGACCGTGAATATTCAACATAGTATATTGTTATTTTAAGAAATATTACCGACAATGACTCGGTATCGCGTTGATTTTCACGGCCTTTGTATATTTCATCCGCTTAAAACAAAACGATCCGGGGGCTTTTGTTGTGCCGGGCCGACGCCGATAGAGTACCCTATATACTCGTATTTTATATCGGCTAAAAAAAAAAATTTAAAAAGACGCACTTACTTCGCACGGTGGGTAGGCCATTAGGTGAGAAGTTGGGAATGTAGGATATAGAGGGGAGTTCGATTTACGTAACGTATTGTAACAAATGTACGCAAAGAAAAAAACCGTTGCTATAACGAAAAACGATTCGGTTCTTTTATGCGCGTATGCGTAAATTCGCCAAGTGTTCACCTCCGCCCCCCCCCGATTATTCGGAAAAAATCGGAAAATGACCTCTCTAAAACGCCGCCCGGATAAAACTTCCTTTCGGTCGAAGCACCGCGGCGTTTGAAAACCGGAGCGATAATTTCGGCGGAAAAGTCATTGGCGAATGGGGGGGGGAAGAAAAAAAAACACAAACGTCATTGTAGAAACCAATGCGTTCCTGGCTCGGTCCGGGTCCAAAGCTGCGACGATCAATTATCTCAAGCCGTCGTGGTTTTCGTCGCGCGGCGTAGGCGGATAATACAGTGACCTCTCTCTCTCTCTCTCTCTCTCTCTCTCTCTGTCTCTCGTCCGCCCACTTACCATAACGAACGAGCCATTATTGTTGTTGTCGCGATACGCGCCATCGGAATACGGTCCGCGCGCGACGCAAAACTCCGACGCGGGTAAACAACACAATAACGGCGGACGGGTTCGAAAACCGCAAGGCACGGCGCACGGTTTGTAACGTTACAAAGCCCGCGTCGCGTGTTGTGCCGACGGGGAAAACGCGGCGGAAATAACGTTGTCGTCGTCGCCGCGGCCACCGGGGCCGCCGCCAAGCGTCCCGAAAACGGCGAGAAGCCGACGGTCGGCTTTTAAACGGAAGCAGCGGCGACAGCAACGCCTTGCGTATAGCGAGCGGTTATCCCGCGCGTAACCGTACAAGTCTTTGGACAGTACACAGTTCCGCGGCTTGGTGCGCGACGGGGGCCAACACGTCACGTTTACCGATTGTTTGGAAACGGGCATTGAAATTTGAATTCCACGTAAGACTCTGTGCGTTCCATTTAACGCGAATGTTTGCGTGATTTTCGATTTTTACGAAAGCTGTTGTAAAATAAAAAAAAAAAACCGTGTACGCTTTTTGCACGCATTTCCAAGTGGTTCTTTTTGGAAAAATTGACATTGGCCCTTCTCGCGCTGAGTCACAGAATTTATTGCGTTGTCGACAAGTCGGTAGTCAAGTAAGTGATGATAGGTATTGGGTGTAGTTAAGTACTCTTGCTCTTCGACAACAAGAGGTTTCATTTCGCAGTGTATAGCAATGCTAGTTTGTTTTTTTTCTCCCGCCTTGTACACCTATAATCTTACCTGTAACATAGTTTATTACCAGCAAATAAAATCATTATTATTATTCGATGTACGTATACTTCTCTAATCGGTTTGGAACGTTTCGGTTGTTGTTTTACGGACGCCGAAGGGGGACAAATCGCGCGTTCGTTCGAAACAATGTGGCGATGTTATTGCGCGGTCCGCCGCAGAAATTAAATCGCATCGACAAAGGCGACGAGGGGAACGGAAATCGCGTCCTCGACAATTCATTAATATCGGACGCGTCGACCCACGCCGCTGCGGATCTGCGGCACGGAACGCTTTTTTATTGTACGACCGCAGCAGTTACGAAATCGCGAATTTCCGCGCGTTAAAGTCCGGTGTTAGTTTGTCGGTTTACGCGACGAAATCGCAGACGTCGTCCGGCCGAACAGCCCCAAACACCGGAAATCGAGCGGTTATCGAGTTACAAAGAAAAAGAAAATAAACGCGGAGCGTACATTATCGACATCGTGAATTATTAAGCTGACCGTCCCTCACAAATATCCGGGTAATTTGCGCGGGCGGGACCCGTTCGAAACAATTTTTCTGAAACACGACCCGTTTGGAATAAAAAATACTGCTTTCATACGACCGACCCGTTTGGTTCAGAATTTTCGTTGTTTTAGTTTAACTGAACGTTTACTTAGCGAGCCTTTATATAGTGATGTTTTATCTGCGTTGTCTTATCGCATATTAGACCTCGATGCACAGATATCTATTATATAAAGAGATTTAGGTATATATTTAACCGGATTTTTCGTATGTTTTAAAACTAAATTTGTGCACAGAAATTGTACGTGAACCTAAATAATTTACTTTTTACTTAATTTGAAAATCAATGTTCGTAGTTTAACCGAACGTTCATTTAGCGAGCGTTTATGAGAATTTAAAAGTATTGGCCCAAACGGGTTCACTAAATCCTAGTCCGGACGGGGCCGCAGTTTTATTTGTGGCCCCGATTCGCCCGTTTGCGCCTGTTAAAGTCGTCGTCGTCGTCGCCGGAATTCGTTGGAGTTATTACAATTGTTAATTCGGCGCGTTCGCGTTGCAATATTTATCGCGCGTACACGGTTCGCTATAGCAAACATTATGCGGTTTAAACAATCGATAATAAAAAAAAAAAAAAAACGCGCGACTAACAGTACATTGCGCGCGTGTAATTAGATGGGTAAATTTATTCCCGTTTATTCCAAATACGTTCGGGCCGGACGTTCTCGGTCGTTTTCAAAAACCGTATTCGAGCTTATAACCTCGATCGTCGCGGACTGTGTGCACCTCATAGTACGTCGCCCGCAGTTCGCCACTGCAATGTCAACTATCGTATTTCGCCGCCGACGAACATTCGTCAAACGGCCGGAAACGACCGTGTTTTGCGAAATCCGTTAGCCGGCGGCCGGATCGCGTAGGTACGTATTGAATTGTTCGCGGGCGTCGACGGGGCGAAACGTCCGAAGACTTCCGGGGGGGGTTTTCGTTCCCCGCCGGGAAGCCGTACAAAACGCCGTGTGCGGTCGCGAAACCCAAGTGCTGCGGCAGGTTCATTACGTAAAACGCACAGTTTGCACACGCACACACACGCGCGCGCGCGCGCGAATAACGGACGAAAATAACAATAACACAGAGATGCGTGGCGGACGCGTGTGCGACGGGGGATTTTAAGTGTTGACCACCCGCTCACCCTCCGAAATTTCGGGAAAATCACGACGAGAGTAGATTTTTAACAGATACAGTAACAACAACGACGGTTTCGGTCGACGGGGAGAGGTGAATACAATACACGATGCGTTGGTATAATTATTGTCGTCTCATCGAACTACGGGTAGCATAGTCGGGTATGTAACATGATTGTTGTTATTGTCGTTTCTGATTTTTTTCCGCGGTTTCCCGGCTCGTCCTGCGATTTTAGAAGGAAAAAAAAACCGATAAATAACCGATCAACAGTTTGTACGTCACGGATTCCGGAATATTGCGCGGATTTCCGAGCGCCGCCGCCGATTTCCCGTGAGGTTACCCGCGAACGTCGTTTCGTACGCCGCATTTCCGCGGGCGATTTCCGTCCACGTGTATTTTAAACGCGCGACTGCGGCACTCGACCGAGAGCCCTGGCCGCGGGCTTGCGTTTCGGTACTGGCAAGACCGGTAAGTCCCGCGGAAAAACGGAAAAAAAAAAAAAAGACCCTAATCGGGCGTACCGGGTTCGTCACTTATAAATCGTGATCAATACAGTATTTTTTTTTTTTTTTCTGTTGTCTGGCGACGACCGAACGAAATCGGTGAGTTGATCCTCGGGGCCGACTTTACGCACCAGTCGACTCCCCGGGTTGTTTCCGTCGGACGTGCACGATAGACAATTCCCCCATTTCCGCAGGCGTGTTAGCAAGACGATAATGTTATTGCGTTGAACGAGCGCTCCAGCCAGTCGACCAAGTGACGCCCGGGGGATGGTTGGCCGACAATAGTCCCCCGGACGTTTACTTGTTTTCCAATCGTATTATGTCAATTAGGTTGGCTTTGCAACTTTTTTCATTTGGAATATTTTAGCTGGGTATCAGGTACCAGGTACAGGATCACCGTCATAGTGTGATGTATTCGTCATAGGATCGCATTTTAGTGCGCGCCGGGTAAAAATTTAATTTTTTCTAAAAAAACTGACATCCGCCGATGAGATTACCAGTGTGCACTGGCCCCGTCACTTTTATCGTAAAAACTTCTCATTGTCCGTTTTTCCCGGATTTTCTAGTCCCGTCGCTGCTGCATTTAATACACTATGTTTCCGACGAATGCCGGACGAAAATTCCGTTTTGATAAGAGTCGGACAAAAAGCCCGAGCACATTTTTACATTCTACAATAATGATAATAATTTAAAATGAGTTACGTTTTGAAATAATAATCAATACAAGTATTGATCGATCTACAATAATAAAAATAATGACAGTTTTCAGCTTACCATTGGAAGTCACTAAAATATACGGACGTTTTTTCGAAATTCTATTTGAACATTTCCACCGAATAATACTCGAAACAAGTTTATGATAAATCGTAGGTTTATCAATTAAAAACAATTTTTTTATTTTCTCAATTTGGTACCTATATATATACATATATATATAGTTGAAAGATGATAATAAAGTGTAGAAGTGATAATAACAAGAAAATGTGCGCGGTCTTTTTGTCCGACAGTAAAAAAAAAAAAAACGAGTCCGGACTTTTTGTCCGTGGACCTTTTGTCCCCGGACTGTTCAACCCGTTACCGTTTCCGACCGCACTCCCAACAGCGCGTCTATGAATTTCGTTTGACTGTCGCACGACAGTAGTAAAGGAGTCAACTCGCGCACACCGCACAATGGTCGCGGAATCAGTTCACCGGTATCGGGGTGCAGGTAAACGGGTACCCGGGAATCAAATCATACACAGCCAACGAAACGACTGCGGTTGTTCGCGTAAATTCAGAAATCGTGTCGCGTACACCCGGCGCGGGTACACCGCGACGATGGTTCCCGGTGACAAATATTACGAATATTAAAAAAGAAAACACGCCGTACAATACGTCGGAATGGCAGTTTACTTTTGACGGGACGGTCGTCATGGGGGCGCAGGTCCCGGATTCAAATGCACGACAAACTAGCCGTCCCATCCGCCACCGGCCTCGGACGCACTTTGCGTCGAGATCCGGGCTCTAGTACGAACGTAAAACAGGAACCGCGGAACAGCAGTGCCGGCGGGCCGAACGCACAATGTAAATACCCCGAAATTACCCCGTCCCGAGAGGCGGACTACCCCACATTTGTGTACGCTCGCGGCTCGGTACGCGCGTCCCTCCGAAAACACGGGAAATCCGTCCGACAGCGCGGTCGCCATGGTAACCGCGCGGCGTACACGCTCCCGCGGTACGGTCGCAGCATCGTAACCGTCACGTGGTGAACACGAGGGCGGCCCGGCGTAGCGCGCCCGGCGACCGATCGATCGGCACGCGCGCCGGGGAAAAAACCGACGCAACAAAACGTTGGGACGCCGGCCGGGGTGCCGAGAACCACGCGTACCCGTCGCGGATAACCGGGCACCGTCGCAGGTACGCGCGCCGGCACAAGACGGACGATGACATAACTCGTATTACCGACATTATTATTATTATTATTGTTGTTATTGTTGTTGTTGTTGTTGTTGTTGTTATTACAGTAGTACACCTATAATAATACCGCTTACCTGGTAGATATCGTTATGAACGTAGCCGTCGATTTCAATCATTCTCCGCCGCGATCACCGGCCGGCTGCTGTGTCATACCGTAACGTCTCACGTGCGCGCGACGAAAACACCGGCGGCGCGTACGTCCCGTTCGTATTATTAATCTGTGTCGGTACGATAATTTACGGTAAATCGCCGGCGTCGTCGTAATAATATTGCGACACCGCGCAGTCACGGTCCCGACGGCGGCGGCATGGCCGTAAATGCTATCGGACGGGTTGGGCGGGTACGGGGCAGATATTATTCCCGTCGCGGACACCGGCGATATTCGCGTGGGATCGCGAAACGGCACCCGTACAGCCTGTTATACAACCTGTGGCCAAAACGCGGTGTCGGTCGTACACGGGCGCGCGAAACACGTTCAGTCGGCCGGGCACGCGCGGTACATCTGCCGGGCGGCGGCGGCAAGCTTTCACCCGGCGGCGGTGGCGGCGCGTAAGTTTGCCGGTGCGCGCGCCCAGCGCCGCCTGGCGGTCAGGTCCGCCGGCGAAGAGCGCCGCGGCCGGCTGACGTTGACGGCGAGGTCAAGTTCAAGCCCGTCCGGACGCGCGCGCGCACCAACGTGCGTGTGCACGCGGGCGTGCGGGCGCGTGTGTGTGTGTGTGTGTGTGTGTGTGTGTAATTTTGTGCTGCCGCCGCCGCCGCCTCCACCGCGCTCACACGAGCCCGGCCGCGTGTAATAATGCGATATGCGTGATACGATTGCGAAAAGCGCGCCGCCGCCGGTCGGTTATAATAACGTTTTACTCGGGATAGTTTCCCGTTTTGAAGATCGCGCGCAAACACAATAAATATTCTTGTTGTTGTTGTTGTTGTTGTGACGGCTACTGCCGCGCGATAATACAATATTTTTATTGGCACTATAAATATCAGTGCACTTTATTGGGTTCTTATTACACGTTTAGAGAAACAAACTAAACCCGAACCGCAACGCTTTGGCACGTATACAATAATACAGTAGTATACAGTAACGGTAGTTTATAGCGTACTTTTTCGCAATGCGATACGAGACTTTTAACGAGCCAATGATACTCGGACGAAACGGCGATAAAATCACCCAAACGGACGTTTCGGCCGCAATTATTGCCGTTAAACAAGATAAAAAAAAAAAAAAAAAAAAATAATAAAAAAAAAAATGCACTCTGCGTGGATATCGGGTGATCGTGTGCGCGGTGTTATTGCATTTAACGTAAAGCATTCGTTATCTCGCAAAGTATTGTCTTCATCGGACAATTCATTTTTTTCGACATTTCGACGTACGGCGCTGAAATGTCGCGTAACCATTTTCCGTCGCCACGCTTATTTTCGGAAGCGAAACGACGGCGCTGAATACTTTTGTTTTTCGATCGGCGGTCTAAAAATTCCGCACACACAGACGGCGTACTGGTTTAAATTAATTTCGGTGTTGAAATTTCCGTCGACCAGCCGTCGCGGGATGTTCACGAAATCGTGGCCGACCGGAAACAACGGCAATGTAACTTTTTAGAATTCACGAACAATTGTCGAAAAAAATCGTTTTGAAAATCGTCTACACCGCAGTTGCAGTGCTAAACAATGAGCGTTCAACCAGTGTTTCCCAACGGGGAGGACATTCATCCGTAGTGAAGAATTTAGATATCTGCAGATGATTCAAAGTGAATATCATTTCTGCCTACCTGTAACCCTTCCCTACTCCTCCGGTCTAAACTTTGAACAGGTATAATTCATAAACGGTAAATCTGATATTAGTGTTTATGCGCATCAAAATTTCTAGAAAAAATATTCCCTATTCAAATCTGTGTTCGAATGGGAGGGGGGTTCCTATTTGAAAATCAACAGTATGTACTTATACAAGGTACATGGTGTAGGGGTAAAAATTAAAAACTGTATTAAAATGAAGCTTAAACGATTCCATAATGATTAGAAAAAACATAAATCAAATTCACATTGAATCCTCTGAGATAATTGCTGGTTAATGATGAAAAAATCACTCTGTATATTGCGTGGGCGGCAATGTAGCGATGATGAAATTGTATAAGAATACAATTTAGAAACGTGCAAATTCACCACGTCCGAAATTAAAAATAACGAGTTCGCATTTTTGATTAACACGGGCGGCGTGAGATTTTTGAAAATCATCGAGGGGGACGTACAAAAAAAAGTTGGGAAACACTGCATTAAACGGATCGCCCTGTATAATATAGCTGTTGTAATGTTTTCCGTCCGGTCCGTCGGATTACAAAAGGGCAAATGGGAAGAGGGACTCGGATCAAGAGAAATTAGCGCCCTTTCTCTCGCAGCATTGTTCGCTTTTTCAATAATAAAACGTCATCAATCAATCGTCTGGTTTTTCATACGGTCTAGTAAAAAAAAAAAATAAATAAATAAATAACAATAATACGTCCGTTGTAATTTATTTAATTGTTTCTGTGGCCGCGGACGCGACTCCGGTGTGTTATTGTAAACCTAATAATATTAATAATACGTTTTTTTCTCGATTCCGAATAGAAAAAAACTAGCAAATTAAAAACTCGTTTTTCTTTATTAATCTAAAGACTCGATAGTTAGCAAGAAACGACGTAGAAAAAAACCATCCGCAAAGTCACTGTAGATATCTAGGCGTGTGGGTAATTCGAAATAATATATAAATGTTTAATTTTATGTTGTAAAAAAAAAAAAAAAAAATGAAAACAAATGAAAAAACGACTTAGAAAGCTATTTCAGTGTACATCATAATATTATATTTAATATTAGTTTTAAGTTGTTCATACGGTTTTAGAACGTTCAGACGGCGCGAACATTGTGACACATCTCCGCGAAGGAAGTTTTTTTATGTTTTATCTTGTGTATACGCGTAATAATGTAATATTTATGTTTTTTGTAGGTTAGCGCGCACGGCGGTCAGGTTAAATGCGTTTTTTCAACGCGAAAATTCCCGAATGAAACCCCGCCGGTAAACAGATTTTTGAACGCGCGCCACGAAACTGTCGAGGGTTGATATTTTCGAAAATTGGAACTCTAAAATTAATGTTCTATTTACCTAAGAAAATTCCTCCGCGCGACGTTGTTGTTTTTTTTTCCCCCCGACTTGCCGACTATCCGCACCGTCGTCGTACCTACGCGTTGGCAAACGCGACACGTGCAGTACAACACGTAATACATTAACGGCCCCGGTGGCGTATTTAGGATTTTGCCGGGGAGGGGGGCTGGGAACCGTATTCGGAAAACCGAGTGTTATAAACGCGTTTTTGCGGGCTAAAAAAAATGATCGATTTTCAATAGTTTATATTATATTTGTGCGAGTTATTCGATCCGTCCTATAATGATATTATCTGCCGTCGAAATTCGAACGAACGATTATCATAACCGGACGTCTCATTATCCGTACACTATATTAAACAAGAAAATCTACGGAAATACTTTTTTTTTTTTACTGTTTGAATTACTGTTTATTACGTAGGTGTATATGTGTACCAATACATTAAATTGTCGATTTTTCCGATTTAAATATAGACAGTGAATAACGTGAACAGTGTGCGCTGAACAAAAGAGTCGAGGTGGGAGATATATCTCTCTAATCTCCCCCCGTAAATACGCCACTGATCAACGCACGTATATACTGTTCCTGTACACTGGAAATTAGAGTACCTGCCTATCCGAGTATGAAGTACCTCGGACGACAAACCGCCAAACCGCTAAACCTAGGTGCTTACTGATTTTTAGTCGCACTCGTCTGTATTTATACAACGTTATTGAATTCGAATTCTAAATTACTACGGATTTTGCGTGGTATTTTTACATTTTTATTTATGTTAACGTACTTCCAATTATAATAATGTGTACCGTATATTGCGGTCATAATATTTTTTTATTTTATTATTTTATACTGGACAGATAACAGCCGATGTATATAACAATAAAAACAGACAAAATACCAGTTCGTACTATAATTTATTTGCTAAAATAAAAAAAAATCGTTTTTACAATATTGTATACGCAGTTGTAACTATTTAGTCGTATAATAATATACTCGAAAAAGAAATGTAAAGAGGTTACCTATAATGTTAATGTACCTACAATTATATTGCATAATTTGTGTCCAGTTTGAAAAAATAGGTAAGGCCACTGTTGTACATAGGTCGAAAGTTTGGAGGATAATTTAGTTTACATACTAAAAGCAACGTTAAATCATTGCGGTCGAAAAACAATTCTTAGCGGAGTTCGGTACACGTATACCGGTAAGATTATAAAGTCTGGCACGTATACAGAAAACAATTTCGGTAGAGGTTCATAAATATAAAAATAATTTGTTCTATAGAATTAATATGATATAGTACGATGAATGCGTTAATCAAACATTTTTATTATTTTTTTTCGGGTAGGATGTTGAACCTCTAATCCATAGGCGAGTTCAGACCTTTTTCGCAGAGGGTGCAACCTAAGCCACCAACCGTTTTAACCCACTCATATAGGTAACTCTTAAGGCAAACGACTGTTAAGGATTTTTTTTTTTTAAAACGAGCCATATTGCGCGTATTTACTGAAAATTCAATAGGAAAAAAATTTGATTTTATAGTTTTCTTTATGTATTATATTACCCGCACCGAATAGATTAAACCTAAGTGAACATAAATAATCGAAATAAAAACAGAAATAATAATATGTATAAATAATAAGTTTGACATTGCTATTATGATGAAAATAATTTAAGTTCAAGCCGACGTTGAGTATTGTTGAGACGTTTAAACACTTATCAATGATATCTTAATAATATAATATTGACGATCATAGGAAATTTCATGTATTACTTTAATCATAATTTTTATTACCGTATTTATTCATAACAACAGTATAGACGATACATGTATGTTTTGTGTTCGTAATAATATTTGCTACATTAAACAAGGGTCGTAGACAGTTGCACGAAAAATGATCGTAAAATATTGAAAAATCCGATTAACCGGTGTTAGTCATATAACCTATGAGTAATTCGGTGCTACAAAAGTAAGTACACGGGCTTTTAGCGGCGGCCACCTGATTTCGCAGGGGATGTAGTCGGTGCTTACCCTGTCACCCGTGGACACGCATATACTCTAACCCCTCCCTTTTCCTATGTACACGTGTCTGAATGTCTGATCAAAGTATTAATTGTGTTTTTCCCCCTTGTATAACCAAAGTAACCCCAGCATAAACAAAAATCAATTATTTTTTGTTTTGTTTGTTTGTTTGTTTTACATCTTTCTGATAAACTGGTATAATATTTAATATGATAACTGATAACTAATTATATTTCGTATAAAGTATCGTCGGACGAAAAATATGCAATTTTCAAAATTCCACGTAAACAATTTCCAGGAGAATTTTTACTAACCGAAAATGTGTTCTCCGAGAAAAAAGACACATCTTAGTAA